AGTTACCCCAATGCAGCAACCGAGGTGGACCATAGAAAGCGAGCAGTATATCTAACTCCATTACTTCATACGGTTAACTAAACATCCTACCAGCCATTAGCCACCGCAAAACAAAACAAAGCCAAAATGCCCGCCAGAACAAAACACATTCCTACAAAAAATCCAGAATCCACAAACAACAAAAAACGCAGCTAGGCTAGCAATAACAACAAACAGTTAAGCAATCCAGCAGACCGAAATAAAACAACAAATTGCACAAAAAGTCCCACAAGCACCAAAATGCAGTAAACGGCCAGAAGGGTCCAAACAAAAAAATACATAAGATCACCAAGCACCCCGAACAACGGACACTCCTATATCCAAATGGCAGCTAAAACTAGCTTTCAAAATCCAAAGTAAATACAAAAATCATCATAACTTCAATAATATCACACATAAGACCCAGACTCCCATATTAAAATCCAATACTAATCCCTATCATGACACAAATCCCTCAATAACTTCCAATCACCAATCAAACAATCTCCCACTCCACGACCACCAAAATAAACCAAGTCTAAATCAAAACATCCCCTTCAGAGCCAACAAGACCAGGCATCAATAAGACACCAGAACCAAAACCCCATGACCACATAACTTTCCCCCCTACACGAAACAATCAGCACTTACAACTTCTCATTTTTTGTTAAGACCGTTTAAACCATGTGCAATTCCCACAATTTACTGACGAAGACTCAACCATTAATAACATGTTATTGTTACCTTTACATCCATTTTGTCCCTTGTACATGGTGGACGAACAAACTCGCCCCAAGTGCACAAAATGTTACAAACTAATATTACATACATAGTGGATAGGAATAACGAAAGGGGGAGAAACGTGATTGACAAGGGCCGGATGAAGGGAAGGGGGAGCCGTTCGGTACGTACAATTAAGGAGTGGGAGCGGGGAGTATGACCAGAAGAATGCCTTGAATCTCTGTATTAATTCGAATTGGCTCTCGATTAGAATGAGTCAGTTGCAGTGAAACCCTTTTTTATACTAACAATAACATTTATTTACTCCCAAAAATGAACGTAAGGAGCCCTAACCGCCGCCCGACCTCCGCAGGCGTGTCAACATGATGGGCCGTGTCCCCGTTTCTTGTCTTCTCTTTTAGGGTCGAATGGGGCTGTTGCGGCAGTGTGGTGTCCTTGTACCCGACTAGGCACAAGACTGAATTTGTTCATGTGCTGATCTGACATCGTCTCAGGTTTCTACTATGGCGATGCTGTAAGTTCATGTTTGGCGGAGGGAAGCTGGTCCCTGATCAGCTCACACCGCAGCTCTAGCGGTCCGCCTACGGCGCCTGCGCGCTGAGCTTGTTTCGATTTCGCAGGCTAACGCTAACCAGCTAGTTAGCTGTCTGTTGGTGTTTATCAAACAGCGCTCGTTCTTCAGATCTGTGCTAGAGATTCTTTAGTTTGCAGTCCTCGTAATATATTTCTTTGTTTTTCCCACGACTGCCATCTGGCACGGTTTCGTGTTTTTTGCACGACCAAGCAGTATGAGTTAATTTATTGTAAGCTAAGTGCGGTGCGTACTGGAGTACCTAATTGCCTGCTGCATCACATCAAGTTGTTACGTACACGCTGTGCTAAACGAGCGTAACTTGCCATAGCTAACTAGTTAGCATATATTAGCAAGGCAAGTTTATCGCACACAGGGTTTCGCCATGATGAAATGGATATCGCCGCTTTTCTTTGTAAATTGACATATTCCGTTATCTTCAAATCTCGACATCACATGAGTTTGGTTCCATCAAGCTAGCGACACAGATTGGTGAATTAACCTAAGCTAAGAAAGGGTAAGACAACGTTAGCTTATTTTGGCTAGGTAGCAATGATATCGGGCTTTAGGCTTATTAAAACATAGGTTAGCTTTATTAAGATTAGATTAATTAATTGGTTGTTGGTAGCATCTCAAGGAGATATAAACTGAAAAATACAGTTAATGCCATGTTTGTTGCCATGTATCTTGGACGGTTAACTTAGTCAAATGTAGCCAAAGCTGAAGAATGAGTTAGCTTATGTGTTAGAAAAATATTTTTAACATTAAGTGTGCTTGTAGCTTAAGTACATTCTTAGCCGAATTGTACATGTTTGTAGATGGAGAAACCCCCTTTCAAACAGACTCAAGTTTGTGGACTTTGGACGATGAAGGAGAGGCTTGGAACCGGAGGGTTTGGTCATGTCTATCTGTATCAACATCAGGTGTGGATTTTTAATGCATGTTTCAATACGTGTATGTATTTAGTCACTCAACGCCCTTTTCCCCAAAAGCTTTAAAATATTGAGATCATCTTACCTGGTAGAGAGAGTGTTTAATGTTTAATGTGATGCTTGCTCTACCATTTAACATGTGATCTTGGTGCTGAGATGCTTTTGGGAAACCCAGTCCTCCAGCCAGTCTGCTTTGTTCCTTTCTTGTGACATTACATTAAACTGTGTATATTATAGTTGTTGATCATCCACTGTGTGGCTGCATTAAGTTTATTTTGTCATTGATGAAATAATTCAAAATGTTTTGTTTCCATTTTGTACAGGAAACGTCTGAGAAAATTGCTGTGAACTCTGTCGGCTTGAGCTCACTGTTAAAAAACAAAGACAGATGGAGTAGGGAGATTCAGATCATGAAAAAGTAAGTTCCTCTGTGAAGAAGAATTTCACTTCTTAATTTACTTATTTAGCTGATTAATTAATGAAGCACATTCCAATATTTGATCAACAATCTTTCTAGATTGAACCACCTTAATGTGGTGACGGCCAGGGACGTACCTGAAGAGATGAAACACATTGCATTGAATGACTTGCCTCTTTTAGCCATGGAGTACTGTTCCAGGGGAGATCTTCGTAAGGTACTCTAAAGCGTTATCTCATTTTGCCTGCCCTGTCTATCGTACTTCAGGTAATTATTTCCTGCTTTGAGGAAGGCATTTGTGTGTTTACTCTCATCTTCTTATTCTTCATTTAATTATAGTTGTTAAGCAAACCTGAAAATTGCTGTGGCTTGAAAGAAAGTGAGGTGCTGTCCTTACTCAACGATGTCGGTAATATATCACCTCTGTAACAACACACTTATGTTTTGCATCTTATTTGAACGTTTAATCTTTCAGTGATGGTGTTCAGCTTTTGAAAGCATTTCTGTATTAACAGGTTCAGGAATTCAGTATCTCCATGCAAACAAAATCATTCACAGAGATTTAAAACCAGAGAATATTGTACTCCAAGACATTAATGGAAAGGTACCAGAATGTTTTTGTGCATATTGTTGATCAGTTTCTTTGTTTCTGTGTGTTCTTTGTAAAACTCTCCTAATTTGAGTAATTTGTGTACCTAGCTGGTCCACAAGATAATAGACCTGGGCTATGCGAAAGATTTGGATCAAGGGAGCCTTTGCACATCGTTTGTGGGCACTCTTCAGTATCTGGTGAGTCTTGTGACTGAATATTGTGGACAAAATGAAGAATTGAGAGTGATATTAAGAATTCAGCATTGCTTAATTGAACAGAAACTGCAGTGATAATAGATGAAGTTTCAATGCCACTTCTGTTCCTAATAAGAAAAGCTGTTGTTGATGTCTGTAACCACAATGTATGGCATGACTGTGACATTTTTGGTTTGGGTTTTCCATTTGTTAAATAAATGACATTCAGAGAACTGTTGTTTCTGTTTTTCTTAAGGCCCCAGAGCTATTTGAGAGCAAACCGTACACAGTCACCGTGGACTACTGGAGCTTCGGCACAATGATCTTCGAGTGTAGCTGTGGTTTTCGTCCTTTTCTACACAACCTACAGCCTGTGCAGTGGTATGTCCAATGGCAACTGGAAAGAGCGAATGTGTTACAGTGCCACCTCTGGGAATTAAATGGTCCTAAAATTCTTGATCTTAGTGGTGAATCTCCTATTATAATAACTTTATATATTGTCTGTTAAACAGGCAGGTGACAAATTGAAGGGAAAAAATAGAATAAAGGAGTGGAGAATCATAACTATTGAGGGTGTCCGATGGCTCTGTTAAGCTGTGGGGCATTTTGCTGGTATGCTTTGGGTCCACTTGTCTCCTTAGAGGGAAGGGTCACTGGAAGTCTATACAAAGTTATTCTGGCTGGCGGTGTTCTTTGGCTTGTGGTGGCCCAAAACCTTTCAAAGACACTTTGTGGTATAGTTTTCCTTTAATGTGTTTTCATCTTTATTTATGACCACCTACTCACAGCTGACGGAGTATATAATTCTGTAGCTCGTTGTCTTTGTGCCAGTGAAACTCACATTTTTGTTTCAAAATGGCATGAAACTGTCTGAATTTCATGAAGTGCCAAAATTTGCAGCATTTCTGATTCTTTTTGTATCTCCAAAAGAATGTCACAATCAATATTTTGGATTTGAGATATATAAACATTTAAGTAGAAATATTTTTGTTTAACAAATAAAACAGGTTCAGCGGCTCTACTGTGAAATTGGCCATTATTATTTCCTTGCAGTTTCTTTCAGGTTTAACCTAGTGACAGAGTCACAAATATTCTTAGGCTAGGGCCTGTGGAGAAGTCTTCACAAGTTATGGCAACAGTTTTTGAATGTTTCTCCTGTTACAAGTCACTGCAAACCGACCGGATTGAATTTACATGACAGGCAACTGTGGTTGCATGGCTTAAGCCTAATTTTTGTGGCTTATGAAATGTTAAGTCACCAGGTCTGTCTGAGTATGATTATGAATTGTCAGTGTAGAGACACTTACTACACAGTAAATTTACCTGTGTTAGCGGTGTGCGTGACTAATTACTCTGTTCACTCTCCAGTTCTTGTTTGGATATTTGTTACATTTCATCACAGGACATCAGGGAGACAATGTGGCATCAAAATAGAGTAGTCATGTTTGGTAATTCTTTGTTGCAGAGAGCAACACTGTTGTGGTGTGCAAGTTAGGCAATATCAGACTTGTGTACAATAGTGCAACCAGCCCAATGCAGAATTACTTTAGAACAACGCATGATGCAGAAGCACCAGGTGCCTCAACATTTGACCAATGTCCTCTTTTTTCCTCTTTCCCACAAAACTTGCTGTTAATAGGATTGTGTTATTGATTTATTGTGAAAATGAAATACATTACAGCTATAGATTCTCAATGCATATTCTTATGTTCAGTACACTCACACTTACCACTGTTGATGTCTGTGTTAGCTGAAAATGGAGATGTTTAGTTACTTGAATAATGATTATGATAATTACATAAAATTAGATTCAGTTGTATTTAATTTTAGGGCCGGTCCCAATATCACTGTTAAAGCCATTACCATTTGAGTACATATTTAATTTGTACACATGCATAGTTTTATACAATTTTATAATTGGATGCAAAATTTGGGCACCCCTTGTCAAAATACGTTTTGTTGATTTTGTAAGTGACAACAAATACACATTCTCTTCATGGAATTGACATCTGCACATTTTAATGCACAAATACAGTTATTTGCTCAATAAAACTTATTGGAAAAAAAAATAAAATGTGGCATATACAAATGTTGTGGAAAATTTAATATTTATTTATTTAAATAAATAAAAAATGTCCTATAAAAGTTGCACAAAATTTCCATTTTAAAGTTTTATTTACTGCAGAGGATGTTTGAACTTATTTTCACTTTAACAAATCAACAAAACATGTAATTTAACCAGGGTATCCACACTTTTGTATACAACGATATTTTGTATTATGTCTTATAAAATATTTTTGTGTAGGACAAGCAAAGTGCGTAACAAGGGTCCAAAAGACATCATGGCTGTAGAGGACATGAATGGAGAAGTCCGATTCAGCACTCATCTTCCTTATCCCAATAACCTCAGCAGGTAATAAGATGGAAAAGTATTCTATGTAACGTGTTCAGATTTGCTGAACATGCTGTACATCTTTCATGTATGAAAGTATGAAAGAAGTTCAGTGACAAATTCTCTACCATTAGGACACTTTTGGAGCCCTTGGAGAGTTTGCTGCAAATGATGCTGAAGTGGGACCCAGTGCAGAGGGGAGGGGGAGCAAACCCTGACACTAAACAGCCACAGTGTTTTGCACTGCTTGATCAAATACTGAACATGAAGGTTAGTCATTCTGATGTTGTTAAAAAACAATATGTTGTATAAGAATTGTGTTAGTGCACGACCCCAGAGGAAGACCTTGATGTTTGATGCTCGTTCCTTTGTTGTAGGTTGTGCACATCTTGAACATGACCACAACTCAGGTACACTCTTTCCTGCTGAGCCCTGAGGAAGGTCTCCACTCCCTTCAGCAGAGGATTGAGGCTGAGACAAAAATTGAACATCTGAATCAAGAGCTTCTGCAGGAGACGGGAGTAATGCTGGACCCGAGGAAACCTGCTGCTCAGTGTGTCCTGGATGGAGTTGTAAGAGTATCATAGTTTGACCTACTTCTTTCTTTTTGCATAATTTGGATCTCTTAGAACTAATCCATTGCTCTTTTGTTTTTTCACCTTTGGTCATCAGAGAGGATGGGACAGCTACATTGTGTATCTATTTGATAAGAGCCTAACCAAGTACTCTGGACCCTTCACTGCCAGGGCACTCCCAGAGAGTGTCAACTTTATTGGTGAGTATTACCACAATTCTTGCTGGATGATATATTCCAAATGTTTGGAAATATGTTTCATTTTAACACTAATCAAATGAAAAAACAATACACTGACATGTCCAACTCTCAACTGTCTTCATTATAATGTCATTACTTGACATGGATTTTATGTTTCAGCATTTATTCACATGAAGAAAGACTAGCTATTTCTAATATTGTCAGTAGGCATTATCATACTTGTACTTCATCCCAGTCTCCTCATTTTGTCTTTTTTAGTCCGTGAGACCAAGACTCAGCTCCCCTTGAGTGCCCTTAAGAAGGTTTGGGGCGAGGCAGTGAGCTACATCTGTGGCCTTAGAGAGGACTACAGCCGCCTTTTCCAAGGCCAAAGAGCCGCCATGTATGTCCATCACGTGATATGTTTCATAGCGTGTTATAGTTGTATGCAAACGTTTAGGCTCCCCTGGTCAAATTACGTGTTGTTGAAGTAAAAATATGTTAACACGTTCCCTAAAGAGACCAAATTTCTGCACATTTTAAAGCACAATTACTGTTTATTTGCTGAATTTAACATATTGGGGAAAAATAGTTTTTTTCCAGTATGTTACACTCAAATAAATAAATAAAATTGTGCTCTAAAATTGCCAAAAGTGCCATATTTACATTCCACGTATAGGATGTGCAAACTTATTTTTACTTTAAAAATCAACAAAACATGTAATTTGACCAGGGATATTTAAACTTTATATACGTCTGTAGGCTTTATGCTCACAGTTGACTTCTAAGGCATTCTGATATCACATTTTGACTGTGTCTGTGTATGTACATATGTTATTTTATAGGCTGAGCCTTCTCCGGTACAACACAAACCTCACCAGATACAAGAATCTGATGTTTTCATGTTCTCAGCAGTTGAAAGCCAAGCTTGACTTCTTTAAGAGTAGCATCCAGTATGACCTGGAGAAGTACAGTGATCAGATGCAGTATGGAATATGTAAGTTTCCATACTGATCATTCCTGTTTGATTTCCTTTGGACAGATGAGTTTTTATCTACTTATTTACTTACTTAGAAACTTATCTAGAATTTCTTTTTGTTTTCTATAGCCTCTGAAAAGATGCTGAAGGCATGGCAAGACAATGACGAAAAGGCTGCTGCATTTGTGCAGGTATGGTTTACAACCTTTCGAAGAGATTTTGAAAAAATGACCAAACACAGCCATGGAAGAGCAAGGCTGCAGCATCAAAGAAAAGTTTTTAGGAGCGTGATCTGTTCAGACTTATGTCTCATATAGGCCACATTTAAAAGATATGTGAACAGATAAAAAAAATAAATAAATAGATGTGGTGAGAAAATCCGATTTGGGCCACTTTTACCTGCTGTGTGAACATAGCCTAACTCAGATCTGTGTTTTCTAGGGATTGCAGTTTAGGAACCATGTAAATGTATGTGCGCTATTAAGTCCTCTGTTGCTTTAGAAGCAGTAATGCCAGATGGCAACATTCTTCTTTTTCCTCCTCCTTAAAGGTTGCGGAGGTTGGCCACCTAGATGAAGAGATTATGGCTTTGCACTCAGAGATTGTTGAACTTCAGAGAAGTCCCTATGCCCGGCGCCAAGCAGACGTGATGGAGCAGCTGTAAATATTCACCTGCACTAAATATCTTCTGTAAACTCACATACCTTGTGTAAAGATTGTTAAAATAAACTTCATTGTGTTTGTTGTATTACAGCGAGGAAAAAGCTATTGACCTCTACAAACAACTGAAAACAAAATGCAAAAGTAAGCATTGTTATTACAATATTTGACTGGCTTTGACTGCCACAAATAAGCTATATTTTTTCATGAATCACAGATTAAGAAGTATACTGAACTGCCTCTAATCATGCAGGAGAATGGTGAAGATTTTAGGATGAAAACAGTTAATGGACAGGGTGATAGGATTATTCTGCTTATACTTGTCCCCCACAGTGAATGACCCTCAGCATGGCTACAGCGACAGCTCTGAGATGGTGAAAGTCATTGTCCAGACTGTCCAGAATCAAGACAGGGTACTGAAAGATCTCTATGCACATCTCAGGTAAAGATTTAAAACCATTGCATTAAAATTCAGATATGACCTTCACCTAATTGCTTTTGCTCTGTTTCTGCATCCATATTTAACATTTTCAGTGTTATGGCTCTCACTGGTATTTAAACTCAAAGAAGTATTGAACATGTCATTTTGAATGTGTAAATTATTGTTGTAGATCATTATATTTATATATATATATATATATATATATATATATATATATATATATATATATATATATATATATATATATATATATATATAAGCTTGTGATAAATTTGGCACACTTTCTGAATAATGTCACTAATAACTACACTTCTTTTTAATTATGTCCTTTAAATCAGCTTTTCAAAAGTCCCAGGTAACTTTTTGTGAAATTAGTAAAAATGCTGCAGATGTCTTTTTGTATATTTTGGTACAAACCCCACTGTGAGCACTGCGAAAAGAAAATAGGATGTGATTGAGCTGACTCAAAACATGTACAAGTGAAGGATTTAACTCAGAATACAAGCTCAATGCTAGTTCAACTAATGACTGTTAACCATTTTCAAAGTTTAACATATTGCCTTTAATATTTTTTGACAGCAAAATTCTGCTGAGCAAACAGAAGATTATTGACTTGTTCCCCAAGATAGAGAAAACCCTGGAGAACATTAAGGAGGCAGACAGTACTGTCATGCAGATGCAGATGAAGAGACAAAGAGAGTTCTGGCACTTACTGAAGATTGCCTGTGTGAGTATAGCCCTTTTCAAGCTGGATTAATGCGACTAATTTGTAAGAGATTTGACTGGCCAATTCAAACGGGATAAAGTATCTGTGTATTTTAAAGTATAAAGTATTTCTTAAATTACCAATAGCCAGATAACCTGGATCACATAGCCCAGACATCCACCTCAGTGTTGAGATTAGAATTGAACAGATCCAAACAAACAAAAACGAACTTCCAGTTAATACCAGATAGAATAGTAACTGGACTCGTTCAACTTAACAAATCCAACCCAACAGGACAGAAACTGCACTGCCATATGAGAGGCAGCCTACCCTTGGATATTTTTCTTTCTACTTCTTCGTTCTTTTTCTAATTACCCATCACCAAAAATGTTTTTGATTATAGTAGTCTTGTTTTAAACTTGAGGATGTAGGAACTCTCAAATTCAAGTTTGCCAGAAAAACAGGGTACGATGTCTATAAGCATGATTTGTTATCACATTACTGTTAGGTCATTTTGGCTAACGGAACTCCATGCTTGACAAAGTAATTTGGTCTGGAATTATTACTTAACAGACTTGTAATAACTATAAACATGCCAGATTCATACTGGATTAAAATCACGGATCTCCTCTGTAATAACTCGAATTACAGTTCTTCTAGGTAAAACTAATCCAGCTCAACTAGGGCTTATGACATCTTTAGGAAAAGTTGCTATAAATTCTTTCACTGGCAATTTATAAAAGGAATTCTATAATTCATCACAGTGCTTACAACAGTTCTGTGTTTTACAATAAAGAGGAAATGTATGTTTCCAGGCACAAAACACCACACGCAGCCACAGCACAGAGATGTCCTCTTCTCTGTCAGCCTGGTCCCATCCTCAGCCTTCCTGCTCACCGCGTCTGCCCATGTCCCTGCATGCAACACACGACAGGTAATGCTCCTAGAACATGTTTCAGGAAATGCACAAGATGACTTTGTTTTCTGCCACCACTGAACTCAAATCAGTCTGCTTTCCAGTGAAACTGTCAACCATCTTCTGGAGGAGAACCAGAAATACTTAAGCCAGCTTACAAGTCTGCTGCAAGAGACAACCGAGGAGAAATCAGAGAGTATAATGGTGATTGATATCTTTGATATCTTTAATATAACTTTTTTTTTTCAAATCATCAACTCCATCATGAATGGCTGTATCACTTTTTACCGTGAAATATTTTCCTGATACCTAGTTTTTAAAATATTGAAGAATCTTTAAATATACTATATGGACAAAAGTATTGGGACACCTACACATCACACATACAGGAGCTTTTATGACATCCCATTCTAAATCCATAGGCATTAATATGGAATTGGTCCCTCCTTTGAAGCTATAACAGCTTCCACTCTTCTGGGAAGCTTTCCATAAGACTTTGGAGTGTTTCCAGGAATTTTTGCCCATTCATCCAGAAGAGCATTTGTGAGGTCAAACACTGATGTTGGACGAGAGGGTCTGGCTCGCAATCTCTATTCTAGTTCATCCCAAAGGTGTTCGATGGGGTTGAGGTCAGGGCTGTGTGTGGGCCAGTCAAGTTCTTCCACACCAAACTCACCCAACCTATGCCTTTATGGACCTTGCTTTGTGCACTGGGGCTCAGTCATGCTGGAACAGAGAAGGGTCTTCCCCTAACTGTTCCCACAAAGTTGGCACCCCGTAGCATTATCCCTCCTCCACCAAACTTAACAGATAGCACAATGCAGTCAGGCAGGTAACGTTCTGGCATTCACCAAACCCAGACTCGTCCATCAGACTGCCAGACAGAGAACCGTGATTCGTCACTCCACTGCTCCCGAGTCCAGTGGCCATGTGCTTTACACCACTCCATCCAATGCTTGGCATTGTGCTTGGTAATGTAGTGCTTGCATGCAGTTGCTCAGCCATCCGAACCCATGCCATCAAGCTCCCGGCGCACAGTTTTTGTGTTGATGTTAATGCCAGAGAAGGTTTGGAACTCTGCAGTTATTGAGTCAGCAGAGCGTTGGCAACTTTTATGTACAATGTGCCTCAGTACTTGGTGACCCGCTCTGTAACTTTACGTGGTATGACAGTTCGTGGCTCACAGGTCATAACACTCACAGGTGATCGTGGAATATTTAGGGGGGAAGAAATTTTGCAAACCGACTTGAAATGGTGGCATCCTATTACAGTACCAGGCTTGAATTCAGTGAGCTCTTTAGAACGACCCATACTTTCACAAATGTTTGTAAAGGCAGACTGCATGGCTAGGCACCTGATTTTATACACCTGTGGCAATGGGACTGAATGAAACATGAATTCAGTGATTAAGAGGTGTGTCCCAATACTTTTGTCCATATAGTTACGTACACACACACACACACACACACACACACTCAGTAAAGCCACAGTAAAGTCTTAAAAACAATGAAGATTTAAATAGATTTAACTACTAAATAGTCTGACATTGTTTTAGATTTTTGATTTAATATTTCAAATATTTGGCAACCATAAGGAGTTCAGGGATAAATAATATACTGTAATTATTTATTTATGAATGTATTTGTCTGTGGCAAATCTGTCTCAAAATGTCATTATTGCTTTTTAAATACAGTATTGTGGTTAATAATTTAAATATGAATTTATGCAGTCGTTTTAGATATATTTTCTGCGCTTCAATCTGGACACAATTTCTGCATGTTTTATTGATTTATTTAATATATATTGTAATATACATGATATAAGTAATGTTAGTTTAAATGCATCTTTAATATTGTATGTCCTTTTTGTGTCTCTGTTCTATATAGGATCAAGACTGGAGCTGGACTAGATATGAATCTCTGATTGCAAAATCACAACGTTTATAGGTTTATTCATAATATGCTAATGACTGGTGACCAGTTATTCCCTGATGTATTATTCATAAGCTTCACATGATTGGATTTTTTTTGGCATATGTTTTTTTTCAACATTAGTAACCTGTTTAATTCACGTTTTGCAGTGTTGTAAGAGCATAATGCCATTTACATAATGTATTTTTAACTGGCACAGCACCACTAACTTCAGGCAAAGCGTATACATACAGTTTAAATACACAAGTATTTATTTATTATTATAAACCAAATTAATCTACTATGTATGGGCTGATATTATTTGAGGTTTTAGAGTTACTCTTTGGATTTGATTACTATTGATCAGCAGCAGCACTTTAGGGGCTCACTGTGAATGTTTGAGCATCATGCCCACAGATGTTCTGCGTTGAAAGAGATATGGCTTGTGAAAATACATTCACAGAATAGAAACTCGACACGAATAAGTTTGTTTGGTATGGCATATGGATATATGTCTGTTCATGAATTCCGAAGGCATAAAAGGCCAGGGAAGACCATTGCTGGTCTTATTGTGGAGTGTAAGACTAAAGGTGCTAAAGTTGATGTTATTTCCCCCTCAAATAAACGGAGAAGTGTCATACAGTCATCAATGCAATGTCAGGCCTGAGAGACTGCCTGGGCCACGTGAATCTGGAGATACAAAGACACCACAAAATTAATGTTAGGACTAATGTCAGTCCTTCTGTTGTCTTTTTTTTTTAATCACAGTAACGATTGGTTTTCTTTCTGATAATCAGCTCTACACAAAAGTTTAATATTCAGTACAAATGATAGTTTGAGTTCATTATATTTCTTTCATCTTTTCATCTGATGTTTTAGATACAATCATCTGATGTTTTAGAGTTGATAAACTGTCAGCTCATCATAATTGAAGAAATACACTGGTTTACTGTACATCATAAATAAAGGTAATTGTTTGCCATACTTTGTGCAGTGTAAAAATAATATGGAAAAAGTCTTGAAAATGTATGGAATTTCATCATGAGGAAAGACCAAGAACCCTCACTAAATAATTTAGATCCTTAATAATGACTCAGCTGAATTTTCCATCTGTGCACGAACCCCACCTGGATGGGGTTTTGCAAAGTCATATTGTGCACAGGAACACTCTAATTGGGTAAAAGGCTTCTGCATTTCCATGCAATGCTGACTGTGTTTTGAGACCAGACTTAGACACATTAGATTAGTCATGTGAGGCATGACATAGGCAATGGCTTAGCCCAGTGGTCACCAGAGGCTTCTGTAGATTTACTGTGCTGTAAAGTTCATCTCTGGCCCTAAACAGCCACACCTGCTGCAGCTAATGTTTGTATTCAAAGTCCTTGATTAGGTTTGTTGGATTTGGGTTTGAGCTGAATCATGCAAGAAGGTAGATCTCAAGGGGAAAGGTTGGTGACCACTGGCCTAGACTGTTACTGGACTTAAGTGTTAAGAATTCTTAAGTGCATGTATGAGAAAGTGCTTTAAAAGCATTTTTAATTGACTGTAAGAAGAAAATCGCACAAGCTAAAAAAAATACACTGAACTTTAAAAGAAAACATAAAAAGCACCTGTACAACAATTGACCAAAAATGTTTGTGACTGAACAAAGATTAAAACACATTTGCATTTTGCATCATTAAAAGAAAAACGAATATTGTCTTGAATGAAAAACCAACTGTTTTGAATACTGAATGAAAACTTGGTTTTCAAACTTGGGTCATTTGCGGTTTTTAGTAATGTCTCTTTACAAGCCAATGCTATTCAGTGAAAGACTTTTACTTTGGAGAAAGGCAGTGCCTTGGCCGTTTGAGGCCCGGAAAACCCAAAGTCTTGTTACGATAATTTTTTTCTCCACCCGTATTTCGAAAAACCCGCCTCCTCCGCGACAATTGGCTGGTATTTTGTTTTCCCGAGCCGTCATCCTGCGCTACGATTGGCTAATAGTTCATATTCGCACGCAGTCCGCCGGTTGGAGGAGGCGGGGCTTGTCGGAATATGAGTGTGAATAACGCCCCGACCTGTGACTTGATATCCTGACACTTCCTCCTAGTAACTGGTCAGTGCGATATTACCTATCCGAAGGTGTTTACGCTCCACTTCGGTCTTCAGGTGGGTCCTGCATTACATTCCTAAACTCATTATCAGCTCTGCATCTCGTGATGCTACATGGAAAATATAATTGCCTCGAATATCCGACATGAAGAACAAAATAATCCTTTTTTTCCTTTCGATAAAGGAGTTATTGCTTTTTTCTGTCGTTTGCATAGTTTCTTGCAGGATCGCCGCTCTTCAGTGAGCTTTTTGTTGTTCTCTACTGTAACTACTCACGACTTTCCGTTAAATGTTTACTTTCATCTTCCAGATCCAGACAGTAATTATGGCTGCGACTCAGAAATGCTACGCTAAAGGTAAAAGACTGCAGAACAGGGAACTTACTTCTTTACTACTCTCTCTCTCTCTCTCTCTCTCTCTCTCTCTCTCTCTCTCTCTCTCTCTCTCTCTCTCTCTCTCTCTCTCTCTCTCTCTCTCTCTCTCACATACCATGCGGGATTGAAACCAGTTGTTCTGGCCACTGAAAGTGCCTCATAACGGTCCGCTGAGAGGATGCGATGCGTACGAGTCTGTGGAGAGTGTGGAATCTAAAAGCACTAACAGTTCATTTTTAACACCTGTAAAAAGTGGCAGCGTAGAAAATGTTCTGAGAAATGTGTGGATATTCTGTCAAACACGGACTCAAGATAACAACTATGAGAGAAAAAAGTGTGTAGATATTTAACTCTCCTCTGCTCTGATGCGGTCACCCTGTGTATTTCATGCTTTTTCTTTCGAGTTAATCACCTTTACACAGTGAAACGGTTGCACTGACTTAATTATTTGCTGAAAAAAACGAATACAAATCTAGTAAAACTTATTATCTTATATAAATCTAGTTAATATCAGTTCATTTTTCGAAGTCTTACAGGCTGAAGAGTCCTTTGCCCAAAATTCTTCCCAGCATTCCTAGCGGTTTTGTTGGTTTTATTTTTATTTCTTGTTTTTCTAATAATTCTCTTTGTAAAATGGTATTTTTGTGTCATAGCGTACTTTTGTGTTAAATATTGAGTTTGGATGCAGTTTACTGGTTTTGTTATTTGTGTTCAGCATTGACCCGTGGTGTGGTAACAGGCTAGTGTTAAAGTGTGAGAGAGGTTAGAAGTGACCGATTGAAAGTCCTATTTACCCAGTATTAACGTCGCTGTATGAAACAATTGATTTAATAAAATGGACGTGTTTTAATTAGCTAGATTATTTGGTAACTATACTAATTCAAAATCTCAGAGTTTGAAACAGTAGAGTGCTGCCAGGTCAGTGGGCACCATTGTAATGACTTGGCTATTTGAGTCATCCTTGCTGCAAAAGTGTGAATCACTGACAATTAGAAAGTAAATATAACTCATAAAGTTATGCATGAGTTATGCATAAGTTATGCAAGTGAACTAATTGAAGTTTACAGTGTACAGCAAAAAACTGAACATAGAAAGTATATAAAATTTAAAAAAGCAGTCTTTGAAATGTGTTTAAGTGATGCTAATTGTAAAAGATGCATATTTTGCATGTGTCAAAAATTGCTTTCATAATGTTAAATGACTTAAGACTTCTTCATCATGACTCAGCTGAATAGCCCACCTGCATGGAGGAACACCACCTGGGTGGGGTTATTCTGCAGAGTCATAGTGTACATAGTGGCGGACTACTTGAGTTAAGCCTCCAGGGAGTCTTTCTGTTGATAAGTGTGTGATCAGGCCTATTGCATGGTCACTACAGCTGGCTTCACACTGGCTGATGATTCAATCTAAGTCAAGTATCATTTTGAAAAATTAAACAACTTTGCATATTTCGAGATATATTTATTGTTCAAGAGCTCAGTGTTGTTTGGAACAGTGTGAAGATTAGGTTATTCAATTCTTATATTGATTTTTGTTCTACAGGAAGCTGTGCTCCTGGTCCCGTACCCCAGGGCCAAATTCGGATCTACAGCATGAGATTCTGCCCTTTTGCTCAGAGAACCAGACTGGTGCTCAAAGCAAAGGGTATTAAGTAAGTTCACATGTATTTTTTAAAGAAATAGTGCATAATATTTGGTGTCTGTTAGACACTAATTAATAGATCTGAACAGATGTTTGTTGAGAAAGCAGGACTTGCCTACATTTTATATTAACTGTCCACAATTTCAATCCAGCCATGAAACAGTGAACATTCATTTGAAAGAGAAACCTGAGTGGTACCTGGAGAAGAACCCCCTTGGTTTGGTGCCGACATTGGAGCTCCCCAGTGGTCAAGTGATCTATGAATCGCCGATCACATGTGAATACCTGGACGAAGTGTATCCTGGGAAAAAGCTGACACCCTCTGACCCCTTTGAGAAAGCCCAGCAGAAGATGCTGCTGGAGGAGTACTCAAAGGTAAGCCCACTGATACCACCATGCAGGGACTAGCAGGCATAGACAAAACAATGACAAAAGCAAATAAAAAGTTACTATATTTTGATAGATTTTGCTGTCTGTGATTTCAGTTTTCTTTCCTGCTGATTTACGAAGTGTTTCACTTGTCAAATTTTCCTCCTATGAATTAAGCTGGAATGTATATACTTAAAGCAAGCTTAAAGTTGCCCACAGTTGCAATATATCACCACTAGATGTCACATCATTTATGTGATTAATCTATTATCATTCTCAAAGAAATTCACAATGAATATAAGCAGTGTGAACAGACTGATTATAGACGAGCAAAATCACTGCAAGGCCAGATGTGATTCTGACTGAGGCACAGAAACTGACAGAAACAATTCTGTTCTAAAACATACACAGACACAGCCCAGCCTTATTATACAGAAGATTAAAATGAATGCATTTTGGAAGTAAATTGTACAACTGGAAGTGCTGAAGATGAAATCACTTTATCATCCATTATCTACACTTTGGCTAAGGGATGTTGCATTGTGATAATTTCTCACAAAGCCAAATTAGGGTGCAAGAAGAAGGCACAGGTAATTGTTTAGGACAAAAATTTGTTGTTAAAAAAGGGTTAATCCTGCCCCTTTTAAGACACCCTGTCATATGAGGCACCAGCTATAATGACAAAGGCCTCCAGAAACCACAACAGTCCACCAGGGAGTCAAAAATTAAATTTTGCTTATTAATGCTTGGGAGAACAGTTTACCCTTCCCCCTTCTAACAGTGATCTTAAAAAAATTTACATTGAAAAAACTGTATATTCATGAATAAATGAGATACCGCAGAAGAAGCTCCTGTTTTAATCATATGACTAATTAATCATACACTGTAATTTTAAAATACAAATAATAGTCTTATTTCATCCTCCTTTCATTATTTTTTTTCTATTTAGAAATATCTTTTAAGGCTGATAAAAGTGAAACCATTAGAGATGAATATGAAATGATGTAAAAACAGAAATAAATGTCTGTCTCACCCATTCTGATTGTTTCAGATCATTCCATTGTTCTACAAGATCCCTGGAAGCAGGAAAAACAGTGAGGATGTGTCTGCATTGGAGGCAGAACTGATGGAGAAACTCTCCAAACTGAATAAGGTAACTTGAAATATTCAAACTACAAATGACACCATTTTGTGAAAGACAAATGTCAGATGTTCATGTATACTCACATTAGCGAAAGCTACAGATGTGTATATTTGCTTCTCACTAGCATGGAATATGAATTCTAACCTGTGAATTGTGCCTCTCTCACTTTGCCAGGTTCTTGTGAACAAGAAAACCAAATACTTTGGTGGTGACTCAGTCACTATGATTGATTACCTGATCTGGCCGTGGTTTGAGAGGGCCGAGGCATGGCAGCTGAATCAGTATGTTTTCTTTACTACAAGATTTAAACAAAAAGCTGGCATTTGTGTTGCAAGACTTGAATACAAGACCACAAAGAGAGCAAACAAGCTCCTTTCATAAAAGAACAACTGTGCAAGTGATCTAAAGCACAGCCGTTGTATTCCCTTTGTGGTGGCAGTTATAGGGCAGGTCTCTTATTCAGAAATAGTGCAAAGTCATCACAGAAGTGCTAAGTTGAAAAGTCAACATGGTCAGTGACTCACCTAGGGCTGGCTTGACTCCGCGGTGAGCCAAATCCATGAAGGTTGCGTAACATTTATGCGCTGTAACTCAGCACCTTTTTACTTTTGTAAATATGCATTTGGAAGGTGTATAGATTTGTCTGTACAGTACATGACAGTATATGCATGTGGTTTCTGAAAGCTGTGCATATAAAGACACTCTTCTTTTTCCAGGTGTCTGGACGGCACTCCGGAGTTGAAGAAATGGATTTTGCTCATGCAAGAGGATCCAACTGTGAAGGCCATCATGTTCGACGCAGAAACACACAAAGCCTTTTTCAACTCATACATGGCTGGAAATCCCAATTATGATTATGGTTTATAGATTTATGTACATACTGAAGTTGATGTGACCATCATGTTAATTTTGTAGTCAAATTTTTCCACTTTCCAGTCATATTGAGGATGATATGCTCTGTATAGCATTAGAAAATCAGAAGGACAGCAATAATGGAATGGCAATATTGGCATATAAACAGTGTGTTTTTGGTGCTTGTTTTGCTCTTTGGAGGTGTGGAAATGTTTTATCCTTTCAAGCATCTACATGTTCTGGTCTTAAAGCAAATAAATTTTGTATAACCAATAATGTCGGCAATGTTAAATAAATGTACTTTCTATAGGCAGATGTACTTTGGCTGAACTTATAATCCTTTACTTTTATAACATTCATCACAAAAAGTGCAATAGATTTTTATTACACTAGGAAGGAGGAAAAAAACAACTATTCATTATTTTTGCATTACTCATTATGCAGTAAGTGGCAGGTGTGTGGCATTTGGAGAAACTAGACAAAAAGAAGGAAAACAACATGTACTGTGTATTATGTATTCATGTTGAGCTTTTAATGTTTTATACATTTTATTGCAAATGATAGGAATATAAATTACAGACATTCTTGTAACCTCAACATCAGGTTTGTTGTTGAATTCTCTCATCATCTGCAAACTTTCTCAAGGCAAGTTCTTCATTCCCTAAAGCTTAGTCATGTGTTTGGTTTTCTCTCTTCCTTTTTTGGTTTATGGCTACTGATAGGAAAGAAAGATTAGGCGACAAAGACTCTTTACCATACAGTTCCCACTGCAAAATAAAACCCCCTAACTGAAGAAGCAGTTTCTATATATAGTATTGCTTGTATATATTTCTAAAAATTACTGCAATTCTAAATCTTAATTTACAAGTCTTGTTTGGTATGGACCCATGAACGATGCCCAGCCCTGTGTATCACTTTATCTCATGCAGTATGTCATGAGACAGAATTGGTATGACTGGAATGTGGTATGAGGAGTCTTAGTATGTTTAGATAAGAAGGACTCAATGCCCTCCATGTCACCTTCTAAACTTACTCTGGCCTAATAAGTCCTTAGAAATGATGTACATGTCCTCAACTTTGTCAGAGCATACTCCTGGCCATAGCCAAAAACCCATGAACACAGTCAAGCTTGTAAAGTCTGGTCATATTTAACATGTAATGTCAATATATATTTGTGCCTTAAATCTGGCTTATTCTAACATCTATTTGTTCAGCTCTTCTAATACTGTCATTATCGTGTACTAGCTATACATATACATTCTCTTTTGTACATGTATGATCAGTCCACCATATCTAGGAAAAAAAGGTTCAAAATTGTGAGACACAGTGCTTGAAGTTGGCTTTTTTAGGAGATAACTTTTCCCCTCTCAATTTCTACAATCAAGATCAGGGCTGACAGAGGGCAAACATCAATGTTGACTGTTGGTCAGCCAGGCTCCTTTTTACTTCATTATCCACTAGGGAAATGCTGTTGATGGTCTAACCTGAGGTTATCACTAAGGCTTGGTATAGAAATTCAATACTATTATGGTGTCGTCCTTTTTACTTATTACTTCACCAATACCAACTTGCGGAAGATTCCATGTCGTTCAGTACTAAATTTCATTACCTAATTAGTCTTTTCAGCATCAATGAGGGTTCAGGAGTATCTATAGTCCATCATGGTCAGTAAATACACTCACTTTCAGTTTGTAATTATTCAAAAACTATAAGAAAAACAAGTGTTCAAGAACTGGTGTCAAAGTTAAGGTATCAGTACTGTTACAGGCAGTGAAGATTTTGAATGATACACAGCACTACTTATCACTTGTGCATGCGTGACACTCCTACAATACTGCATACCACAAAGGAAGGTACATTCTAAACACTTCTTTGTATATTCTGATCCCTCTTACAAGCCTTTCAGAGTGGCAGCAGCTGTCCACTCTTTGGGCACAAAAAAATCCAGCTGTACTGTACAAGTGCGCTGTCCAATGGTAGACGGACATGGATAAACTCTCTTTTCAGATTGTTGTTTCCTCCTGAGGTTTCTTCCCCATCTTGTGCCAGAGTTCTTCTCTGCTATTGCCACTGACTTTTAGCAAGTCAATGGCTTATCATCTGATCCAAGCACCTATGTTTTATTCTTACTTCAACTTCATCTGTGATTATAATTTCTGTCCACTGTCCTCCTCATGTGCTTATGGATTTTTATTTTTTGTTAGTGGAGCTCCTCACCAGACCAGGTTAAATATTCCTCGCTGTAGTTAAGTGTGCAGCTGTACTGGATCAGGGGTTTATAATGTTAAAATAAAGCTCCAGTGATCACCCATGTTTGTATCTGTGATTGTATTCCTGAGCCCCTGCTAGGTGTGCCAGTCAGGGCTTGGTCTGGGGCTGCTTTGTTTCAATGTCTGTAGTAAAAAGCTCTACACAAAAAAAAGTGACTTGACTTGACTTGCTCAATGGGTGTGTCAGCCCTGGACCTCTGTAAACTTTCTATAAAAGCTCTTTATAAATACATTTGTACATCCTGCATTTGTCAAAAGGAATGTTCCTACACACAAGTTACAAAAGCAGTTTAAAACCGGAAGATAACCTTTATGCTGATGATGTACTATAATACTAATTTTCAAACTCATTATTGCATGTTTAATGTGACACCACATCTAAATATGCATTTGCCCTATATATGTGCATGTGGTTCATTAGGTACAAACCCACATTAAAAGCTGCCTAACAGTAAACGGAATGCCATCTTAATGTAGAAATCTACTAGACTAATTCTTTCAGTGCCAAAAAAAGCTATTTACACATGTGAAAAAAATCACTCTGCAATTATGGTCTGAAAGTCCCCAGGACTGAACACTGAGCTATTGAGTCTGGTAATTTCCATCAGCGCAGTGCGTCAGTCTATGACTCAGTTGGTGAGCTGAGTTCATGATAGATGTCGCCATTAGGAAAGTGAGGGGTGTACTCTTGAATAAGCACTGGTGCATTTCTGAGCATCTCCTGAAAATGCTCCACCATCTTTGCATATATTTGCCTCTGCAACACCAGAGGCCTGAAAAGATTTATAGGTTCTGTGGTCAGGAACATTGTAGGAACCCCAATGGCAGCTGGGACGAGATGATTCCCGACGATAATATGACTAAGTCTTTTTTCTTGCAAGCTTTTTTGTAGGAAGCCCAACAAGTCCTGCAACCGCCGGTCCAGACACTGTGGTTTCCATGCTGAAGGTGATTTGCGCAGCAGCAGATGCAAGAGAGCAGTTTTTAAATGGTAGTTTGTGAGAGCACTTCTACCTGTCAGGCCTGTCTGCTTCCTGTGTAAGAAAGACGCAAGCTGAAGGCACCGGAGGTGGCAAGAGTTGTCTGGAAGGGTCTTTGCCATGTGCTTAAGCAGGTTTCTCTCATAAACAGTGAATGAAAGATGCCAATGTATGTCTGAGATATTGGCAGTATCTGAAGGACAATGAGAGATGAAGTAGGCGTCGGTGTCCTCAAGCTGAATAGCAGGTGTAATGTTTAGAACAATAACCTTTCCTGACCTGAACCTGACCTTCAGCGCCCCAGGGAAGTCTAGGTTGCGGAAAGTGAGCTCAAACTCGTACTTATGAGAGATTCGTCCCCATGCTTTGGTCACCGAGATCTGGAACCACTTCATGACTTGATCTTTAGACAGATAAGGAGTGTTTCTCGAGCACAGCAGCTCCTCCAAGGCATGGTCGTCAACTTCACTGCTTTCGTTTCTGTTGTGAAGCAGGCACAGCATATCCTCGCCGAGGTTGGTTGTGCCACAGAGGCAGTCTGGGCAATTCCCACTAATTTTTGTCAACTTAATCCTGCCACATCCTTGCAGGTCCAGTGGAATATCAGAGTATGCACCACACCACAGCTGGAACTGGAAAGAGTAAGGCTCTGGGGTTGCAAAAGGCACGATCAGATCACACATGAGAGGCTTACATACTCTCCAAGACTCAAATATGCTGCCCACTCCAACAAAGTCCTCAAGCTCCATATCAACCTCACGGTCACAAATGCTCCTCAAAGCCTCCAGCAGGTCATCTGCAAAGCCCTCAACAAACTCCCGCACCCTCCCGCTCTCGTGGATAAAGGGGTGGAAGCTGGTCTCGCAGAAGTTGCTTAGGACACCTTTATCTAAAGTCACAACCTTAGCACCACCACTGGTGTACCCTTCTTCATCTTCTGAGGGGTCAGGAGTTTCTCCAGGGATCAATTCCTGCCGACAAACCTCAATAGTGAAGAAAATGACAAGAGAGAGGGCACTCCAGAAATACCAGCCATAGCAGTCAAAGCTTGAGTCCAGGGCCTCTTTATCTGCTTTAGAGATCTCCTGCTCAAGCCGCTCCCGCTCAGCCTCCAGCCTCTCCTCATGCTCCTTCATCCGGGCCAAAATATCTTCATCCTGTTCTGGGATGGTAGTGTTTTCCTTGGGGAAAAGCAGGGGGTGGTTGAGAATGGCAGCTACCACCACCATGCAGACCTTCGCTATGGCACCCTGCATCACTAATTGCGGATCTGTGGAAAAAGTAACATTACAAGATGTGTACATTTTTTGTTTGCTAGTTTGAAATCATCACTCATGACAGCAATCTGTATTTTTCACTTTAACAGATTAGACAGATCACATCATAATTTGAAACTTCACAATTTCATTCATGGCACAGGTTCTCAAAAGTGCCCCAGCGCAAAGACTGTTATAAGACAGTTATAAGAGCAGCTTCGTACTATACTGATGATGATGATCTTGTTGCTACAATGCTTTCTGTAGAGCTCATATTAGACCATCAGCTAAACTAAAAATAGAGATTGCTTTGAGTCCTGCGATGCACAGGCCACACAGTGTGGAAGGAAGTCAGATAACCCCTGTAGAGCATTTTAAGACACCTAGCCAGATAAAGTAACACGCACTGATATCGCTGTTTCCATGTCTCAATAGGTTATAAGCTAAAATAACTCAAACACATTGATCTTCTGCTGATGAATGTTCATCCTATTCCTTGTTGAAAACAGTAATTATGTTCTTAAGCATAAGCACTGTTAAGTCTTACAGTCTTATAATACACTCTTCACTGACAGTGTGAGGCCAGTGAAGTTAGAATATCATCTAACCCTACTGGGCTGCTTCTGAAGCTTGTCAAAAGAACTAAAACACAGGAAGGAGCCTAATTATAAACACTGAAGGAAGTTATGTAATTTGCAGAGCTCTATCCATGAGAAACGGTTGAACTATTGCATAAGAAATGTACAACAGTTGGCATTATTTGTACAATGCATGCCACTTCAATTGACAAAAATTAAACAAAAGAACATGAAGGAACACTGAACAACTATGAAAAATGCAAAACTTTGCAAGACTAAGAAAAACACACAGGGCTTCTCAGTGCTTCCTATCTATATCTATCAGTACCTGGTGCAAAATGTCGCGCAGCTGTTACCCAGCAGTTGTCAACATTTAACAGCAATAAATAAAGACTACATGTCTAAACTTTCATTTGGTTGTTGCACATTAAATTTTTTAATGGCTTAATCTTTTTATTATAAGCTGAAAGTTGGCAATTTGCTATATTTTGCAACTTATTATCTTGTGATGATTAGGGCAAGAATTCAACTGTTAGAAATATGGAGATTGAAATACTCTAAATAACCTTCTGTGCCCTTGTTTCCATAATATAATGACAGAAATTGTGTTTGAATGCCAATGTAAACAGATGACTGTGGAGCACCCCTCTCTAAATTAAACTGTATAAATGTGTTCTGTTTTACAAACTGTCAAGAAGCCAGGTTGAGTCACACTGCACTCCACATTACAAAGCCAAGTGGAGATTTTGCCTTCGCATGCGAAGATTTAGACTCTTCGTCTAAGACTATTAGTCTAAATCTATTAGTGGGAGTATCAACTGGAAACCAAGAACTAGTCTGCAACATTGTGTGAAGCTCCAGCCCTGGAGGCAGAGGTGGGTGATGTGGCGAAAATATAATATTGTGATACTTCAAGAAATATTCATGATACATGTTGTCACGATATTTATTTTTCATACATCTGATCACGTGGAACAGTGAAAAAAGAACCAGTAGTGCTACATTTAAAAAATACTATCGGAAACTGTGAACACAATCATTTTTATTCAATATTTGGTGTAATGTTGAATCATGCACGATATGTTCAGAAAAGTATATTGTAGTGTAGTGAGGCATGATTTATCATGATAACAATATATAATGTCCTATTGCCCAGCCCTACCTGGAGATCTGCAGCCCTGCTCAGTTCTCACACCGCCCTGCTTTAACACACTTTAGACCTGTTTTGAGATTTGTATTCAAAAGTTAGTTGGCAGACTAGCATTTTTTTGTACTTTAGACTCGACTCATGCTGGACTCTTCTCTTTCATATGAGGAATCAGTTTCTGACAGCTGAGCAGATGTTAGCCAGATGTTTTGCACAATTGTACATAAATACTTTTTTAAATATGCCAACTTTTACTATTGTAAGGAGAAAGTGCACGTTTTGGACGGGCCCCCTCTGAACATCTCAAAGTGTCTTTAACCAGTTATTCAGGAAGAAGCTGACTGACATTCATTTACCTCTACAGTGCTGGAGTTTTACATAATGTTGTAAACTATAGACTGAGAATGCTAACTTATGTTCTCTTAAATGTTACTGGCCCAACTCACGTTGAACAAATATGAGATTAATGTAAAATATTGTACCCACAATTTTTCACCATGACGCATAGCGGGCTAATAACAGTCCTGAACAACTTCCCCATTTAGTCTCCGTTGCTAAACAGCATTGAGCTAGCATCCTATAAATAAGATACTGTAGCTGCAAAACTCGTGTTTTTCTTGTCTTGCACGGTAGATGAGGATGATGTGCGTGAAAGTTGGAGGGGAGGGTTAAATGAATGCCATTCAGCTTCTTCTCGAGTAGCTTGGCTACACTGATGTGGCTGATGTTACACAGCGTAGCACAGACAGACGTGTCCGAGTTTTAGACTAGCATGATTCAGACAGGAGACAGAGAAGAGGTGAACAACATGTAAGAAAACACAAACTTGCCTTTTAGTACGAGAGTTTGGTCCTTGAGTGGTCCATTGTGTCGGAATAAGAAAGAGAAAGTGGCGCCCTATAACAGCGGAATGAGACTTGGCTGTTTCCTCTTACTCTGTTTGTGACTCGAGGTGGAGAGGCATGATGGTCATTTCCTGGAAACGTCTGTTCATGAGGCCTGTTTTCCCTCTGCTATAAAAAGATCACGGGCTGGACCGGCACGGTTTACTCAGCCTGGGCTCCATGTGACACAAACTTTGACTTACGTGTATCCCCCTCATCATAACACAACACAGCACAACTGCTGAAAACACAACACAACACAGCTGCTAAACACAGAACACAGCACAACTGCTGAAAACACAACACAACACAGCTGCTAAACACAGAACACAGCACAACTGCTGAACACACAACATAGCACAGCTGCTAAACACAGAACACAGCACAACTGCTGAAAACACAGCACAACTGCTGAACACAGAACACAGCACAACTGCTGAAAACACAGCACAACTGCTGAACACAGAACACAGCACAACTGCTGAACACACAACACAGCACAACTGCTGAACACACAACATAGCACAACTGCTAAACACAGAACACAGCACAACTGCTGAACACACAACACAGCACAACTGCTGAACACAGAACACAACACAACTGCTGAACATACAACACAACACAACTGCTGAAAACAACACAGCTGCTAAACACAGAACACTACACAACTGCTGAACATACAACACAACACAATTGCTGAAAACACAACACAGCTGCTAAACACAGAACACTACACAACTGCTGAACATACAACACAACACAACTGCTGAAAACACAACACAGCTGCTAAACACAGAACACAACACAACTGCTGAACACACAACACAATTACTGAACGCACACACAACTGCTGAACACACAACACAACTGCTGCACACACGACACAACTGCTGAACACAACAACTGCTGAACACAACACACAACACAACTGCTGAACAATTTTGAGCAACTGATAAATTTTCATTTGATACATCACTATGGCTCATTAGTAACAGAGGAATAAAATAAGGCAATGGTATTTCAAATTTCATGAAAGATATAATGCAACACACACACGCACACACACACACACACTCACACACACACGCACACACACACACACACACACACATATATACATATATATATAAACTAATTCTTGATGTTATATCATTCTCTCAGTTATTTTAGAATTATCTAGAGCTGTTCATTCTGCACAAAAAAAATATGAAATTACACACGACTAGCCAGGATTAGGATGTAATAGAATGCAAGTATTGGGAATATATAACAGAAATGAAGTGTCTGTATTCAGTCCAAGTTTCATTTTGTTAAGACAGTATTCAGAATACAGTTACCTTTTACATTTTTGAGGTATACTTTTAGAATACTTATCAACCAAATTAAAAAATGAATACACAATCTTTAAAAGAAACATCATCAATACTGATTCATTAATTATTTTAAAATTATGGTGTGTAAAAGATAGCTTCTTTACAGACATCTTAGATCCTGCTAAAGCCTGAGTAGACTGATAAATCAATGTGATGATCAGTTATTAATCTCAGTGTTACTGAGCTCTTTTGAGCGATGATGGAACTGAACTCCTCAGTAGTTCACTAGTGATCAACTTGGCATTGGTGTTGCTTGCACATCTGGATACACACTGTGACTGAATGAAAACACCAGTAATAGATAACTTACATAAAAATCCCAGAATCCGATTCCATTCCTTCACAGCTATAAACATATTCCCATTGCTTCAACAAAGTATGCAGTTCTGTTGCACTCTTTCTGCAAAAATCCACACAGGCTTCTCAGTGCATTAGTGCACTTTGAAAATACACCTTTAATCATTGGGAATACACCTGTCTCTTTTTCATAAACTTAGAGTGCTAAAGCCCTGTGTAAACACAATGGTGCGGGGACGCAGGAAGACATTTTAAGTTGAGGGAGCTTGTGAACTTCGACGTCATGCAAAATGATTTGCCTTTTTTCCATTTGATGTTTTTTTTTTTTTTTAATACTGAATGTGTCATACTGCACTATAATGAGGTGAGAGATGATAATAAATACATAAAACCGATATGTCAGACCGATGTCCATCCTCTATCTGCTCTCTCGTTCTGGATGAACTTTATGCAAAATAACTAAGTGGCGGCCAATCAGACTGTTGATGTGTGGCATGGTAACCAATTGTACCACGCCCACAGTCACACAGTGAGCAAGTACACTGAGCGGGAGAAATAACGTTTGATAAAACTTTATTATATTAGATGCTTTTTTTAAAGTTTAAAAACAGTACTAAGCTGCTTTGGGGTTCAGAACTGTCTCTATCTCTGCATACATGCTCTCTCTTTGCACCCCAGCCTGCATGTGTTTTAGCGATGTGCCCACAAAGCAGCCAACAGCCGTGGAGGGAGGTGATTTGACTCGCTTAAACAGTGCACAGCTACTGCAGATATTGAAAATATATAAATAAAATAGAGAGGTGCAAACCCCTCTCTAAAGCAAGCATGTTTGTACCACACTCAAATTATTGAAAATTTCAGATCTCTGTATTACTATTATTGTTTTTAGCAGTTGCAGTCCTGAAATTAGGGGGTGCTGCAGTACCTTCAACACCCCTACTTGCCGCTTCCCTGATAGTGTGTATAATAAGGAGTTTTATTTTGTGGTTTTGCAAAATGTGTGTAATGTTTTGAGAAACGTGGATAACCAGTTGGTAAAAGCTTTATTTCTAACAATATTCATCAATCATGTCCATAAAAACATGATTCATGTTCATTTTAGTTTTCTGTTTAGACCTTTCTGAGTGTGAAGTTAAATCAGTGTATCAGAAACAATCATTGCATTCCTGTTAGTGTGAGCCATCTTGGACTGAGAGTGTCAGCACCGAAGAAGAAAATTGAACTGATTATAATGCTATGTTACATTCTGGAGATGGGTTGATAACATCTAAGTCATGACTCAAAGCTAAGGATGCATTCCTCAGCTACGATTCTTGGCTGTTACGTCATTGAAGGCTGTTCCTTTTTGAAGGATCCTTCCAATGCGTCCGAGAAATGTGTCCTCTGTTTGTAAGAAATGGAAAATGTTTCCTTCAAGACATTCAGTCTCCCACAATCTTTCATGCACAGCTCTATGTGAAAAACGAAATTTACGTCAGTACGTTGTAACTGTGTAAAACATAATGACAACATCTAGTGACAGCTGATAGAAAATACTCTCATAGTCATATCTACCTTCAGCATCCACATGAAAAACGTCATGCACAATTATTAGCTCAGCAATCAATCGTCACCAGCTGCTGATTCTAAGCATGAATAAAGGCGACTGTAGACAAGTATTTATCAAATAGGTGACAGGTAAGACTGTCATTACATAAAACTGATTTACAAAATGACTGATGTGGATTTTTTCATAGAAACTTTGATGATGGGTTTCACAGCATTTTACTGCACTTCCCCCTCCATCCAAAAAAAAATAAAATAAAATAAAATAAGAAAAAGAAAAAAGAAAGATTTCACTGAAGATATTCAGAGACATTTGTTTCTGATTTTTTCCCCACACACGGAAAAGGTGAGAAACAGTGACAAACAGTGATGAGTGATGACAAACAGGAGACAGGAGACACTATTTATGAGCAGAGGGATGTGTAATAGATATGTCTGCTGTTCTGTAAAGACTTAAGCAATGGCAGATTTACCTAATAAGCTTGTTGAAAAGCTGTACAATGGATATTACAGTATGCCAATTTAGGTTAGACCTTCTTCCCCCTTCTGTAATATACAAGCCATAATTGATGACAGGGTCTATACTTGTTGCCTGAATTTTACTGGAAATTTCAGTTTAGTATGGTATGTACGCCAAGGCCTTCTGTTTGGGAGCCTCTGCCAAATACTCAAATACTCAGCCCTGGGGATTGGCATCATCTGTAGGTACAGTATAGTCCTCCATCACTCAGCTTATGTATGGAAAAAGCAGAAGTTTGTTAGTGAGTCTATTTTGCACAGAAACTGTTATTTTGGCCAGCAAGCCTCTGTTTAGTGTTGTTTGTTGAGGAGAATGAAGTAAATCTTGTAAATAAGTTGTTATTGTGCTGTTACTCTAAGGTCAGCTATGTTGGTTACTGTATCTGCTAAAAATCATTTTAATGTAATCTCTAATGATACATAATGCTATAAAACAATGTTAAAATTATTTAGCTATCGAACTAAACAGGACTGTGCAGTGCTCACATTTGCTAAAAACATTATGTAAAGATAAATTGTACTTGTATGCATACTATTGTATGATTTCAGTAAGTCTGCTAAAGATCCTTGTGCACAAGATAAGAGGTCCTCCACAAAATACACCATCTCACACCATCAAGCATTAGCTTTAGCATTAGCTCAACTGAAGGAGTACCATCTATCACTCAAACCTCCTCCTTATTAAACATAAAAACCACTTTAACACTCAGTGACTAAAAGAGTTCCCTGCTTTAATTATTGTTAATATTTAAACTATTTTCAAATGTTAAATGTCACAAAATCAGTAAAATGGCATGTCCCTGAGCTTTACTGAGAGAAAACAACAGTTTTTAATCGTAAAATGAACTGATACTTAAAAATGAAAACATTCTAAAGTGTAAGTTATGATTTTACCCATCAAATTTCAGAAAATTATTTTTTAATTCATAAATGGTGCCAAATATATCATTTTAATTGTGTTCTCAGTTTCTCACCAACCCTGTTATAATATTTTGCCTTGAGGCACGTGACTCAGGAAATCACCTCATTTCACTATAAAGAACAGCATGCAAAGATGGCAGCACTTTTCTTGGCACCTTTTTAATCATGTCTTTGTGCATTTGACACTTGTGGACAAACCTGTCAAAACTGTTGCACTTAAATCATGCTGTAAAATAATATGTATGAAAATGTTATTCAAATCATATTGGAGTAGATGAGCTGCCTCTGAATTTGCTTCACCACATAGTTAAAGACTGCAGATGTAGCATGCTAATAACCCTGCTATCAACACCGTTAGTGCACTTTTGTTACAGCCTTGACACTATTACATTGTGTCCAGTGCTTGGACACAAAAGCATAGTTTTATCCACATTAATTTCAGATAAAAATTTACAATTGGGTTGTTAAATACCAAGTTAAATAGATTTAGTGCATTTGATGTCATTTTACAGAGTAATTCAAAAAGACTCATCCGATTTCAAAATGATTTATTTCCCTTGTAAATAATTACAGAACAATGCAGTACATTGTAAATGGTTTAAGTGAGCATAAAGTTTATCATGTAATTTGAATTATTAAGTGCTCAATATGGCCTCCTCCAGCTGTACGGACAACATCAATGTGATAGTCAAAGTCGAGTCCCGTACTCGATTGAGCATGTCGGGTGTCACTGCACTCACGGCTCTTTCAATGTAATTTCGGAGATCATCCAGTGTTGTTGGGAGTGATGGCACATAGACAGAATCCTTAACGTACCCCCACAAAAAAGTCACACTGCGTGAGGTCTGGTGATGCTGGTGACATTTTTCTTGGAACTGCTGGTACCAACGACAAATGCTCTGAACTGTGGAGGTTCACTGCCATACTGACAGTCAGAAACTCTATGACCCCCTCTTTCAATTGGTATGTGTTTGGTTCCTAGGCGCCTCACGGTTGTAAAAATATTGTGCTTTGAAGTCAGATTAGTCTTTTTGAATCACCCTGTATATACACCAATCAGGCATAACATTATGACCTCCCCATGGACTCTCACAGAGCAGGTATTATTTGGGTGGTGGATCATTCTCAGCACTGCAGTAACACTGACGTGGTGGTGGTGAGTTAGTGTGTGTTGCGCTGGTCTGAGCGGATCAAACACAGCAGTGCTGCTGGAGTTTTTAAACACCTCAGTGTCACTGCTGGACTGGGAATAGTTCACCAACCAAAAACATCCAACCAACAGCGTCCTGTGGGCAGCGTCCTGTGACCACTGATGAAGGACTAGAGGATGGCCAACACAAACTATGCGGCAGCAGATGAGCTATCAACTACAAAACTACTATCAACACTATAGTAAGTGGAGCTGATAAAATGGACAATGAGTGTAGAAACAAGGAGGTGGTCATAATGTTATGCCTGATCAGTGTAGACTGTTTTTTGTTGTTTTTTGGAAGAATAGTGTTCCATCTCTCTAGCACAATTTTAGACACTTGGAGAATTTATACCAAGCTGCATTGAAGCTGTTCTGGTTGCTTGTGGTGGCCTTACTCATTAGTTTATATATATATATATATATATATATATATATATATATATATATATGTAAAATATATAATTGACATAATTAGAAAATGTCCATTTCAGTCTGTTTCCATGGGCTTACATTAAAAGTAATGTATGTTTTTTCCTTCTCCTGTAAAGTTACCATTCGGGAGATATGAGGTTCTGTTCTGACAGCAGCAAGATATATGTATATATACAGACTATCAGGAAAGTACATAACTTCAAACACTCACTAAAGACTGGCCAATTGGTTTTAGTTTCACAGGTTTCAGCCTTCATTAGTGCTGTATATCAATGCTGTACTACCTGCTAATACTTCACTGTAAACAGATTTGGATTGTGCCATGACTGTTGTATATAATGACAGTCTTACCTATGTTTTCCTTTTATTTTGCAAAGTATCCAATGAATTTTTTGTGTTTTTGTATGTGACCTGTGCTAATTGTTCCGTAAGTGTTTGTGAAAATGACTGAAAGCACCAATGTATTGTTAAGTGCACAGGCGCCATCTTTGCTGCTGGGTGACTCTGCACCTGTTGGGTGTGGCAGATCAAGCAAAGCAGAAGCATTTTGTTCTGTGGTCAATGTAATCAGCATGTGAACACACTAGGAGGAGTCAGCACGATGGACTTACTGCTGTGACTTCAATGACATTCTCACTGGAAAAGCCATTGTGCACGGATTCTCTAAAAACGCATCATCTCAGTCTAATATACTCTCTCCGCAGAGCATTAGCTCTTTTTCTTTTTCATTATACCAGACGCTGGCATTTATCCTGTTTTCATAGACAATCTTGAATTTGGGCTCTATATAGTCTCTGTATACGACTGTCTACGCGGCTCAAGCTTTATTATGGATCGCCTGAAGCTGGTTCTGCAATATTTTCAGTCAAATTCCGAGTCCATCTCTAATGGAATCTGTGTAGTCTTAGCACTGATAAGTGTGAAGCTCTACACTAGTTTTGATTTCAACTGCCCGTGTATACCTCAGTATAATAAACTGTACGCCCTGGGCGTCATGTTCGTGCCTCCTGTGATACTATTCTTATTGGGAGTAATGATTAATCGACATACTGGAGTGATGATGGAGGAATGGGCCAGACCTCCAGGCAAGAGGACAAAAAACCCAGCTGTAGTAAAGTAAGCTTTTTCTCTTTTAAGCAAAGACAATTTCTTATTTACCTATATCATGTCATAGCTGTATTTTCCATATAAGGGTATTTGTATCCTTTGAAATAGTCACTCCATCAGTTTAGGTGCACTACACCAATTATTTTTTTTAAAAAGTCAACTCTTCTGCAGGTATTTGTTTTCAGCTATGATGCAGCGGGCCCTGTTAGCTCCCATGGTGTGGATCCTAGTGACCCTGCTGGATGGAAAATGTTTCATCTGTGCATTCAGTATGAGTGTGGATCCCAAACATTTCACTGGCTTACCCAACAACACGGGTCTGGATCTGGTCAAGATCATGGCCAAGGTGCCCTGCAAGGAAGACAGCATCTTCAGAAATACTACTTTCCGTAAAGCGGTCACACGCTATGTGCGCTGTTACTCCCAAGTAAGTAGACTTTTTAATGTTCATGTCTCAGAGCCTATTAAGAGAATCCATTTCTGTATGAAGTGTTAAACATAATTATTAATAGTGTGTAATTAGCCATACATCTTTGGAAGTACTGATGGGGCTTAAATTGTCCTGATTATACCAAGAGGTACAAAAACTAATTGTTGATCGAAGATATTGAAGATATTACCAATATGCTGTAGGCTTACAATGATGCAAAGTCTGTTCTAATAATCAATAAAAGTTTTCTAGTATTAATATTAATTTTACACTATTAAAAATGATGGTTCTTCAGGGGTTCATTAGTAAAGGCAATGAGTTCCTTGTACAACCATTTCATGCTTGAATGGTACCAAAAGGGTTCTTCTATTATTAGAAGCTTGATATTGTAACAATAGAAGAACCATTTTTGAACCATGTATAACACATACTCCATCAATTTGAAGAACGATTTCTCCATGCCAAGAACCATTTAAGCATGCAAATGGTTCTTTGAGTGTTCATGGTTCTACACTGTTAGAAATAAAGGTTCTGTGCAGGTACATTTTTCGCTCATCAAAGTGCAAACAATGTAAATGTTCCCTCAATGGTACAACAGTGGTTTTAAGGTCCAGTTGTGTACCTTAAATACAAAAAGTAGATATTTGTGGAAAAGTGTATATTTGTATAATTTGTTTTCATAACCTAATGTTTTAAAACAGAACAATAAAATAAAAAGCCTGGAGACGAGATGGGGTGTGTGGAGTCAATATAACTTGGAAAAGAGAATTTCAGTGGATTATGGCACAATTATTTTCCCTTAATAAAAGTACTACCCTTAAGGGCACCATCCCAATGACAAGAGGGGTACTGCCCCGGTGACAAAGAACCCTTGAAGAACCATGTTTTTAAGAGTGTACATCTAATCCTTGCATTTTGCTTTCTTCCAGGCCGTAGGATGGTCCATCCTCCTCCTCCTCATTCTTGTGGGTGCAGTGGCTCGAGTCATTAAACCATGCTTCAATCATGCTGTTTTCCTCCAGACACGTTACTGGAGCAACTATCTGGACATTGAACAGAAGCTCTTTGATGAGACTTGTGTCCTTCATGCCAGAGAGTTTGCCAGAAAATGTGTAGTGCAGTTCTTTGAGGGTATGCAAGATGATGCAGTTCTAAGGCTGCCCCTCTCACACACTCTCCCATCCAGAAAAACCCACGATGAATATGAGGAAGAGGAGCGACTCCATGGTATAACTAGAAAGGAGCAGGTGGATCACTTGCTTCAAACCTGGTACCAGTGCAGACCTGAGCTGGATGTAACCAAAATAGCTCATAGGCCCACTCTGTGCATTACCTGGGAGGACTATAAGGGACGCACACTTTACTCAGATGTATGAAATGACAATAAAAGGAAAAAATTGCACATCTGTTTGAAAATTTCAGTTTAAAACCTTAAGTTGGTAAAACTAGAAAAAAATGAATGTAATTATTAGTGTTTACTGGGAATGACAACAGGAATCAACTAGATATATATATATCCTATTTGTTTATATACTGTTTTTAAAAGGTTTAATAAACCTTCATTGAAAAAATAAAATGCCCTGTATTTTGTGCTACCTCAAGATAAACTTAAGATTATTAGCCTGTGTGTGATGTCATGACAGTCAGCGGAGAAGCAACATTAATTAACTGATTAATCTCATTAAAGTTATGAATCTCATCAGATAAATATGTCAAATCCTTCAAGGATTGTAAAATTAAGGGAACCTAAAAAGAGTACAAGGTGTAGGGTTCCCAGCACTGGGATTGAGACATTGTAACTGCATGGCATTTCCAGGTTCCTCAAAGTGGATACTGTTGCAGAAAGCTTTAACTACTTCATCATGTCATTTTAATTTACTATTTTTGCATGTCCCAGGAAGAAAATGAAAGAACTTGCATTTGATTTTGCATGATTTCCAATTTGGAGCTCCAGTTATGGAGTTCATGAAAGTTTATAACACATGTACATGAAACTCCATGTAAACAATGTTCACAGCTTACCAACAGCTTGCAAATAACCAAATGTGCCCTTACAGATTTCCATAGATTTTCTAAATTTATGCGTCGTTTAATCAATAAGATGTAAACAAAGCCATTCAGAGTGGTCTGATGTGAAATGGTGCCTTGAAGAGAAATTTACAGACTCAAATTCCTTTACAACAGTAGTGATAGGAACCAGGAGTTGTGATGTCGATGCCAAATATATACTCATTTTATTTAGTATTCAAATTCTCCAGTCAAGTTTTGGAGGCTATTTTGCCTTACAGTACCCTGCATGTACCTCTCTGGCATGAATATATGTAAAAAAACATACATTTTAGGCCAAAACCACATCTAAATACTATAATAAAGCAATGTCTTATGCATCAGGTAGCGTATTCATAACCATTTCGTGTAACATTTTAATTGTGTAACTTTCAGAGGCATCAAACTCTTCAGACGTCTGGTTCCTATCACCAAAACTGTAAACAGTTCTGTCTCAGTAAGTTTTTCTAAAACAGTGTATTTCACATCAAACCATTCTGAATGACCTTGATTACACCATAATGGTTTAATTAGGCACATTTTTTTTTAAATAATGGAATTCCCCCTTAAGCTAAGTTTTAAAAAGATACAAGTAACTACGCTTAAAACTAAGCAGCTTCTTGCCTTTTTAAACATTGTGGGAACTTTTTACAGTATAGAAAAGAGATTTAATGTAATATTCCTTGTCATATAGCATATGTATGAAACACAAAACTGCTGGTGATCGGCTGGATTGCTTTCGCCAATCAAAATAGCAAATTTGCATGCTGAGATTTGAATTCCCCAGGATTTTATTTGTTTAGTTTTGCATGTCTCTCTACAGAGACATTACTCAGCATTGTGGACATGGCTATGATGCAAATGACACTGGATGTTCATCAGTCAATAACACAGTGGAAAAACTTAAATGTCTAACATAGTCCTATTTCTTGATATGCGGTTCCATTTAAGATGGCATTCAGTTTTAACACTGATCTACATCTGTGTGCTGTGTGTACAGTTACATTATTTACGTTTTGTTCAACTCTCACAGTCTTGAGGATTTAAACAAAATGAAACGCTTGAGTTAGTGTGACAGGTTGTGGGTCTGCAAGGTGTGTCGTGTTGAATTCAGTCTTACCCTCCACACGTAGGAACACATTGTGCACTAAACCATATTATTGTGCTTTAAACCATATTAAATGAGTCTGTTTACACCGACATCAAAGCAGAATTCTGAGGGCTGTCAAAACTTCAAACAGCAGTTAAACAAAGGCCTAACATTTGGATAAGGCCACAGTGGTACAGTGAAGGAAAAAAGAAAGGAGGGGCCAGAGCTGTGGTCCTCAGTATGTGTGTCATCCTGCCTAGCTCATTCATGGTCAAAGGCAGCTGTCCATCCACACAGGCTTTCTTTCATCTACTCTGGTATGCTATACGCTGTAAAAAATCTCTAATTTTAGCAGTAATGTACTGTATTTGAGCCAGTATTATACTTTAAATGTGTTTTGCGGTTTTATACAGCATCTTGTGTTGAATTCTGGGAAATATTTACAGTACAGGCAGATTATACTATTAAATTAGTGCTCTTCCGTGTCCTAATATGTGTGTGTAAATATTTAAAAATGGATATTGTTGATTACAGTAATAGACTGCTGTATGTAAACTTTTGTACTGCATTTAAAATTCAGTAGAACATGTCTTTACTTTTCCTTGCAAACGTTACAGTAAGTTACTGTATTTTTTGTGATTTTGTGGGCACAAAGGAGAAACCATATTATGGGAAACATCATATTTAATACAAGAGAGAAATCTGAACTACTTGGCTGATACTAAGCCTTTCTTTCTTGGTCAGTTTTCAGGCTTGAAACAGGTCTTTCTGGGAATAATGGATAAGTTTCGGATGATGTTCCAGTTCTTGCAGGCCAATCAGGAGTCGTTTATGAACGGTATCTGTGGTATAATGGCCCTGGCCAGCGCTCAGCTTTACTCCTCTTTCGAGTTCACCTGTCCGTGTCTCCCGGAGTACAACCTCGCCTACGGCCTGGGGATCCTGCTCATTCCGGCTGTGTGGTTCTTCATCCTGGGCTTTGTGCTCAATAACAACATTTCGATGGTGACGGAGGAGTGGAGGAGGCCCGCAGGAGCGCGCAGGAAGGAGCCGCGCGTGCTGCGCTACATGCTGTGCTCGATGACGCAGCGCGCGCTCATCGCGCCCTCCGTGTGGATCGCCGTGAGTCTGATGCACGGGGAGAGTCTGCTGTGCGCGTGCAGCGCCGCCGCTGACCTGCGCCGCTTCTTCAACCGGAGCCGCGCCGCGCCGCCCGAGCGAGAGCTCGCGAGATTACTGGCGCGAATTCCCTGCGAGAACGTGTTCGACGGGCACGAGCTCATCTCCCGCGAGGCGGCGAGCAGGTACATCCGGTGCATGTCACAGGTAATGAATGATCCGAGAGCGCGCGCGCGCACACACACAAATACACACGCGCTATGCACGAGCTCTACATCTTGGAATCCACCACGTACAAAGTTTTCATTTAACACAAATATGTAACTTCTCTTTTATTCCACTAGCAAATTGTTTCTCTTTATTTAATGTTTTTAAATGTTTCTCTCTATTGAGGTGGTTATTATCCAATTTAAAAAATCATCTTACATGATATTTCCCATATGCATCAAACATATGTAACTATACACACTTAAAATTATGGTTGTTCAAGAGTTCTTTAGTAAAGAAAATGGTTCTATATAGCACCAAAACAGAAGAACAGAAGAACCCTTTTTGGTGCTATTTACCATTTTTGACAAGGTTCTATATAGAACATTCTCTATTAATCCGAAGAACACGTTTATGATGCAAAGAACCCTTTAATCATGCAAAGGGTTCTTTGAGTGTTCATGGTTCTATACAGAACCATTTCTTTGCTAAAGAACCCTTGAAGAACCATCATTTTTAAGTGTGTATGTAACCTTAAACTTAGTCCTACACACCTACACACAAAGATGATTCTTCAAGGGTTCTTTAGTAAAGAAAGTGATTCTTTATATTGTTATATTGTGGTTCTTCAGATGGTTCTATATAGAGCCTTTTCGAAAAGGGTTCTGTATAGCACCTAAAGGGTTTTTCTATTGTTACAAGCTTGACATCGTAACAAAAGATGAACCCTTTTTGGTGCTATATAGAACCCCTTTCAAAAAGCTTCCATATAGGACCATATATAAAATATTCTTTATTAATTTAAAGAACGATTTCATGATGCAAAGAACCCTTTAATCATGCAAAGGGTTCTTTGAGTGTTCATGGTTCAGATATTCCTTCTAATGGTGATCTCAGCTGTTTTAAGTTGCACCAACGGCTAACACAGCTGTTCAGTTGTGCACGCTTAGCTTATATAATCTCCATAGACAAATACTAACCAATGGAATGGCGCTCTGGGCCAGCCACATATGAGCCTAAGCTCACCATTCCCAATGCCAAGCATCAGATAGAGGGGTATAAAAGCTCCCCAAGCATTGGGCTGTGGAGCAGTGGAGCTGTGTTCTCTGGAGTGATGTGGCTCCATCAAATACCTTTGGATTGAGTTCTAGGGGCATTTCTGATCCAGAATCAATACCTGGCCACACTAACACTCTCATGGCTGAATGCAATCAAATCCCACAAAGAATCATCGCTATGTTCCAACATCTAGTGTGAATCCATCCCAGAAGAGTAGAGGCTCTTTCTGCAGCGAAGGGAGGACAAGTGATGTATAGATATGTACCACTACCCACAGCCTTCAAATGAACATGGAATACTAAAATAGCCCCAGTTGACTAAGATTATGCACAATGAACATGCATTATGATAAAATAAGATAAAAGAGCACATAACAGCTGGATAATAAAGTTTGAATTAGCAAAGTGTTTCTAAAAACACTCTTATTATCTTGTTTTCTACACCGTGGAAGCCTATGGGACATACCTTTGCACTATGTCTTACTTTCGAAGCATATATTTCACAAAAATCAAATAATAATAAAAACTCTGAAACATCATCTAGAAGGTAAATATATAACTGTTTCTCTCATGTCCTTACAGATCAGATTGTTATTTGAAGAGCTGAGCATGGTCATGTAGGCATGTCGCCATTCCCTGCAATATTAAATAGCCAACAGGAATGTTGGGTTGACACTCAGTCTTTCTGTCAGTGCCTCATTCAAATACTGGAGCTTCTGGTGCTCAGTCCCAAATAGCACACTAAGCCCTGCAGTCCTCCTCAAAGTCAGCATTTTGGTGACAATAACAATGTGTAGACCTATAGGGCGAGAGACTTTGAGGGTGCTTGGTATAAATTGGTGCATTTGGATCAGACTTGTGTGACGTGCAGGCCTTGCATGTGCCGCACATCCGCATATCAGTCGCACTGTTTTTTTTTTCTAAAGTGATTGTCTACAGAGTTCAGATTACAAGCAAATGCAGCTGAATGACAAATTAAATTAATATATAAATGTATTTTTACCCAAATCCGAGTATCTTCCTGTCTGCCCTGTTGGTCAGACAGCTGTAAACAAATCAATCCACTGGTCCTCTCCTCTGTGTTATGGAATTTTTGGTAGTAGGCCGCAGCTGAGTCCGCACTGATGCAGTCCTTATTGAGGGCTGGAGTAAGAACGCTTAGAGGGCACTCCTTAACACACGTTTATATGGCAAAGTGACGACTGGGACACCCTAGGGCAAGGGTTCTTAACCTGGGCGTCACAACGTTTGCCCACAAGAATGGTGCTCCAAGACATACCTTATCAAACACAGAGAAAAATAATTTTGATGAGGGCATACAAACTTTACTTGGCATTACAGGCCATGGAAGACGGAAATTTCAGGCCATGGGTAAGCTTGTTACTGAAGGACGGTCTTGATTAATCGCTAAACTTGGGACTGGGCTCTGGTTTAATTTGTGCTGTTTTAGAGCCTGTTGTGTTGACTTTAATCTGCTACAGCACTGGGGCAAAATCTGATCGTACAGTGTGAATTACATGCATTATATTATATCATAATACACTTAATTAACTATTTATCCTCAATTATTATTTGTAGGATTAGTATTGTTGTTGGGTTTATGTAAATGCTGTAATACTTAAAAACAACAAATGCACAGCTTTCTGTTAATTACGCAATTATACACATTTCTCCTTCTCACAGGGGGTTTTGTTCAGCACCATCCGACCAATAGATGTCACTGTGGTGCATTGTTTCAAAATGTTTTCGTTTGAATTTTGTTTCAGTTGTTTCAGTCCCTCAGAAGCCCGCTTTAAGCCTGGGCCATCATGACCAGATATCAAAACACATAACATACTCAGATACAGTTTCAACTCTCCAGCCATGATCTGTTCCTTTTCTGGGGTCCGTTATGTGTCTAATGGTGACACGTAGGACCAAGACTGCCCGTATGACATGAGAGGTTATCATTCTGTAAATCCAGTCGTGCTATATTTGTGTGGGGAGTGTTATTTTCTACTCTTGCACTTCATTTGTAACCTGAATACACTGCTGTAGAGGTCTGTTATGTGTTTGGGAGTGAAATGAGAAAACATAATACATTTATCAATGAATCCTTTACATTTACATATAGCTACATTTCAGATTAAAATGAACAGTAAACATTTCTCTTATCTTGTTTTTGTTGAGCTGGTTTTCTACACAGTTTTGCAGTTTTGAATCAAGGACTAAATTACCAACGTGACTTCATCTTAGATCTACTTGCGTGTTCCTGCATTTGAATATGCACATATTTGTTATGCAGATACTTTGATTTACATTGCATTAAATGCCTCAAGCGCTCTCACCAAATAAATATTGGAAGCTAAGCTATGCAGTTTATGCAGTTTTGCATAAACATAGCTGTTACTTTGCTTTGTTCATGTGCAAACACCTAAAATATAAAGAGTCAAGTATAAAATGATGATTAAAATGTGATATTGATTTGTTCTTTTACTCCTTAAACTCTAGACTTATTGTTCATGTATAAATCTTAAGGCTTATTATCCAGTAGCTACTATGAATTATTCAGTAAGCTAGGTAGATACTGCAGAGTGAGTAATGTAAGGCTGGACCAGTTGACAGGTCCTTAGAGTTTAAAAGCCTTAAATTTTTGTGACACAAAATGTAGCACCAATACTGTTTTCTGGAAACCTTCTAAAATGTTTTCAAGCCATGTTCTATATGTATTTACATTGTAATAAAGCATATATTATCCACATTTCATAACAACCACAAAATCAGAATTTGGTGTGAAGGGATTGTTTAAATTTTTAGCTTGTAGGGAGGGACATCATCAGTTATTTTACTTGTTTGTTTTTTGTTTGTTTTGATACTTAAATCCAAATATTTGAAATTTTGAGTCCAAAATGTACTACTTTGTATATTTACTGATGTACATTGTATGTTGAAAAGCTTGTAGACAAATGCTCAACCGATGTTTCTCTTGAAGTCAAGGATATTAATAAGTGCATGGTGGCTAATTTAGAGCATTCCATTCTACTGGCAATGCTTTTCTATGGAGATTATACAAGCTGTGTGTTCACAATTAAACATCTGTGTCAGAGTGGCACCTTAAAGAGGCTGAATTCACTAATTAGAAGCAGTCTGGATATGTGTGGACATAGAGTGTACCTGTATTAATTCAGATTTTCTCTAATTGCTACACACCAACACTGTTAAAATAAAAAGAACTTTAAATTATACAATAACTGATTACTTTTCTTGAGTTAACTCAACTTGAGGACACTAGAGTTCACCCAGCTCAAACTTCTTAGGTTAGTCAGACGTTTTCCTAACTATTTTTATTATCTCCTTACCCTTGCTATTATTAATTTTTTACTTCTTCATCTCAGTTATGTAAACAATGCATATTGCTGCATTGGGGTTTGCTGGAAGAAAACCTTGTATCTCCATCTTTGTCATTTTGAGTTTTGACATAATTTGAAAATACCTGTTGCCCTTTACATTGTGTGTCAATTTCATGAAGAATGGACCAAAAGAAATGGCACAAATTGACTTGGAAAAATGTCTGGTTCCATTGACTTACATTAAAAGTAAAGTAAGTTTTTTTTCCTTTTTCTGTAAAGTTATCATTTTGGAGATGCAAGGTTTTCTTCTGACAACAACAATATGCTGTTTTTTCTGTTTCCCTGCTAGGTGGGACACCTTCCATCAGAAAGTTCCTCCAGGCATTTTCTCTCCCTAGGCTTCCAGTTATGCGGTTCAAACTCATAACTGCTTGGTGGGGGTGAATGCTTAGTCTGTTGCACCACGTGAAAGCTCCTGAACTTACTCAGATTTCTGTGTCCTTAAATGTTTAATAAACTGTAGAAAATATCTGCTTTAACTTTGAAAAATAATGTTGCAATGTGGTGCAATGGTCTAAGAATTCTGCCTAAAATCAGGAGATTGTAAGTTTGAACCGCAGCGATACCACAGCTTTCTATATTTGGAAGCCCAAGAGGACTAAATGGTGGGATTGTGTGATAGACTGAGTCCCAGCTCTAGCGGAACGGAATAAAAAACAAATTCTGTGTTTACTTAACTGAGTAATTACAAATGAGAATTGGGAGAACTTTTGACCGAACTAAGAAGTTTGAGTTTGAATGACAGCAGTGTATGAAAAGTGATATAAATAAACCTGCCTTGCCTTGAGTTCAGTGAATTCTAGAATTAACTCAAGTTGAGTTAACCCAAGAAAAGCAATGGCAATGAGTTACCTTAAGTTTCAATTGACCTGACTTTGAATTTTTCACAGTGAAGATATCAGCATTTTACTTTTGATTGGTAATTGTATTTGAATGCCAACCTGCTGTAACTATAAACAAACTGTTCACACGTTCTGAGTGCAAAATGACACCAGGTATCTTTGTTCCCTCAGGCCTGTGGATGGACATTTTTGCTGATTGTCACTTTGGTGGCCTTTATGGTAAGAGGGATCAGACCATGTTTTACACAAGCAGTCTTCTTGAAAAGCAAGTACTGGTCCCATTATATTGATACAGAGCGCAGGCTCTTTGATGAGACGTGCAGAGAACACGCCAAGAGCTTTGCCAAGGTCTGTATACAGCAGTATTTTGAAAGCATTAGTGGTGAAATGGTGGTGAAACATAATGATGAAGAAACACACACAAATGAAGAAGAGAAGCTCCTAGGCATCCGTGAAAAGGAGGACATGAACAGAGTTCTGTGGAACTGGCATACCTGTAAACCCCCGCTACACCTTCACAAACGAGGAAAAGAAGAAAGCATGAGTGAACACTCAAGCATTCATGCTCACAGTAATGACTGTCATAGTCACAAATCGATAAAGAATGGATATAAAATCTGAGGCTACATAAGAGCAAAACATCACTGTTATGCAGATTTTTTACAGATAGTTTAATATTATTTATGTTACTCTTATGATTAGGAGTGTGACACAAATGTTTATTTTTTCCTCCTGGACATTTCTTTGCTTGGTACTTGCCTCACTATTCTTTGCTTTGCTAAGATTTGTATGTAAACAGATAACCTTTACAGAGCCTCTGCCCATGCACAGTGGTTTAAAGTGGTGAGCTTAGCAGCCATGTTGTGCTTTGAGTTGTCTCTCCACATGTTTTAAATACTCTTTTTTTTCCACTGGGGAGGAAACCAGACTCCAGTTCCTGCTGATGATTCAGAGCTTGTGCCCGTAACAGACTTATATGGACGCTTTCTCTTTTTCTTTTCCAACTTGGGCATGGCATTGTAGAGATGCTAATAGAACCGGTTTTTGTGCATTAGACTCCTTTTATTTAATGCCAACCTCAGTGCTCTGTTTGAAACTCTGTGGATTTACAGCGCAGAGAGTTGTACCCCTTAGCCATGGAACGTAAGTTTGCATGACATTTTTTTTCCAGTCACATGTCTTTGTTTTAGCAGCTTTATCTTAGAGATACATGAATACACAAACAGTTGTTTTGAGCATGTTACTTTTGTCCATGGACTCTCAAAGTTCTAACTGTGTGGTTACTCTGTACAGCTGCTCACCAAAATATTCCTCAGTGAAACCTGAGCTGTTTCCAGTGAGCACACTTTTTTGTGGCTGCTGCACAATGAAGTAAAGGCTTCTGTGTATGTCACTTCTGTAAAGCCTGAATTTGTGTGGCATCGTCAGTAATTGTCCTTCATTGCTCAGGACTGTTTCTGTCACGTGTTGCATTTCTACCCAGATTTCTTAACCCTTTTCTTCAGGTTCTGCCACCAGGTTCCTCTGTGCTGTCCATGTTTTTGCTTGCCTTGGGGATTACATGTTAGAGCTTGTCTAGGGTTGCTTTGAGGAGATTCAGCTGCATTGTCTTTTCTGGATTTTGTCCATTACTGGAATCTGCAAAGTCTTGTCCACAGATGTGTGTTTGAGACTTTTTTTCATTTAGTATTAAGGATCCTTAAAACTCCTGGTCATCATCTGCGTGCAGACACCGAGAGCCGGGCTTAACGCGAAAGCAGGATTAAATGGCTGCGCTTATTTCGGAAAACTTCAAATTTGCTGCTCTCTTCTTCAAAAGCAAGGATGTAGTGATCTTCAATGGCCTCATAGCCTTGGGGACAGTGGCCAGTCAGACGGCGTACAACATTTTTGCCTTTGAGTGCCCATGTTCTTCAGAGAGAAACTACCTATATGGGCTAGCTGCTATTGGTGTTCCTGCACTGGCCTTTTTTATCATTGGGATTATGCTTAATCGAAACACATGGGACCTTGTTTCTGAGTGTCGTATCAGAAAATGCCGGAAGCTCTCCGTGGCTGCTGCCTTTGCTCTGCTGGGGTCAATAGTGGGCCGAGCGGTAGTGGCCCCTATTACCTGGTCTGTCCTCTCACTCCTCAGAGGAGAGGCCTATGTCTGTGCACTCAGTGAGTTTGTGGACCCTCTGTCTTTGGAAAACTTCCCCTCCACTCCTCAGGGCCCGAATGTCATGGCCCGCTTTCCGTGCAAAGATGTACCCACAGATTTGCTGCACTTCTGGGGAGAAATTCAACGTCGGCTCAAGTATGAATCTCAGGTACTTATCACCTGTACCTTAAAGCATTTAGTGTTTTAATATTTTAAAAAATGCACAAAAATGCATTTAGCATTTAGTGGTGAACTGCATGTAGAACCTCTTGCTTACAACTAAAGACTCATGCTGACATTGTACTAAAATAGGTCTTTGAATAAATCAAACATCATGCCATTCACTTTTCATTCCTTGAAATGTTCTGTAATTATACAAGAGGTACATTTAATAGAGTGATTTCTGGACAAAGAGTAGATTCAGGCACAGATTCATGAAACCAGATTTACACATTTGTGAGAAACCCTATAGAGGTCAACAACTTTTTCTTGTGCCTCACAGTTTTATGCCAAAGTTTGGACAAATTACATATGTTTTTGTTTTTCTGATTTTTTAAGTGAAAAGAAGTAAAACCTCTACAGCAAACTATTTTAAAAAATAAACATTTTCTGCCATGTTAATGCATAGTTTCATTAAATTTGATGAATAAAAACAAGAAATAATAAATACATTAAAATAAAACAGTAATTGGGGCATGTGCAAAAACTCATTAGGCCTTGATAGTCTCACTGAGACCAGTTAAAAATTTTCGGCTGATGACAATTCCAAAGCGTAATAACTTTTGTGACTTTTCAAACCTTGTGTTAACACTCAACAACAATGGGCTCCTCTAAGCCTCTGGCAGATCTGAAAATGAAGCTAATTGATGCCTGCTAAGCAGGGGGAGGCTATAAAAAGATATAGCACTTCCAGCTCACAATTTCCTGTCTGAAATGTAATTAAGAAAGGGGAAAGGGCAGTTAAGTTAAGCAAGGCAAGATCTGGAAGGTCTAGCTGACACAAGAGTGGCAGTACAGCCTGCTAGTTTGATAGCACTGTTTGCACAAACATGATCTGCATGGAAGAGTCATCAAAAGTAAACCTTACTGGCAACCTCATCAACAACATCAGTGCCTAAAGTATGCAAACCGACGTCTAGTTAAGCCAGAGGCATTTTGGAAGCAAGTACCATGACCTGATGAGGTAAAAATAGAACTCTGGGCACAGTCACCAAATGTTTGGAGAAAAAAGGAGCAGCGTCTGATGAAAAGAACACCTTGCCAAATGTTAAGCATGGGGGTTGGTCTGTTATGCTTTGGGGTTGTGTGGCAACCAGTGGCAGATATTACACGGGTAGATGGAAGAACAGATTCCACTAAGTTTCAGCAAGTTCTGGAAGCAAATGTGACACAGTCAGTCATGAAACTGAAGGGGAAATTTGGCTGGTTTCCACAACATGACAATCATCCAAAACATATCTTAAAATCCACCATGAACTACTTCAAGGAATGCAAGCTGAAGCTTTTGAAACAGCCCTCACAGACTTGAACATCGTTGAAAATCTGAAGGTAGATCTTAAACATGCCTAAGAATAGCCCAAAAATATAAAGGTTTTGCACATGCCACAATTGGTTCATTGTCTGTTTTTTTTTTTTTTAAGTTGATCAGATATACAGTTAAGGTGCTTTAACTCTGACAGATTTATATATACATATATCTAATATTTTTCTTTTCATTTCACAAATCTGAAAAATGTGTATTTAGTGTTCCCAAACTTTTGCACACAACTATATGTTTTTGCTGTAATGCATTGAAAGTAATGCATCATAAGTTACTTTTTATAATCAACATCATCATTAGTGTTTTCTGCTCAGTATTTTTAAGACATTGTGGCATGTACAAGGTGCATGCTTCACTTGCTTGCTACTTATAATTTGTACTCCTTTCCCTTTCTGCTGTTTGTCTCCAGCTGCTGGGATGGCTGATGATAGCTGTCATCTCGCTCGGTGTTTTCCTGATACTGTGTCTGAAGCGTTGCTGCTCTCCCCTGGGATACCAGCAGGAGGCGTACTGGTCCAGCTACCGTTCCAATGAGCATGTTCTCTTTCAGCGCACTGCTGATGCTCATGCTAAGATCCATGCTGCTGAGAACGTCAAGAGCTTCTTTGGGTTCGTGGCCCTGGAGAAAGAGGAAAAAGAGCTTCTGGTAGAGTGCCAGGGAGCTAGAAGTGTTATTTCCAGCCAGGAGTGGAACCGTGTCACAGGTGTTTACTTATACAGAGAGAACAGAGGAGCTCCGCTGTATAGTCGCCTCAATAAATGGTCCCAATACACAGAGGAGGACAACCATGAGGGCATTGCGAAAGAGATGGACATGTTATGTTAGGGTGGTAAATCTCACTGACCATAATAGTCTGTTTTTTATAGATTTTTGTTGATAATAGTTCATTGAACCACTAGGATATGGTGTATATTAACCAAAATGCTATCAAATCTGTTATGATATAAGGGTATTTTGGCCCTGCTGTGGAACTGAATATTCTTTTTTGCCATTTGCTTTGATGTGATGATGTGATAACTTATTTTTGGAGATCCTTAGTGATGGCCTAGTGATGGTATGCTTTTTTTAGATGATTGTACTTTAAGGCTTAAATACCATCAGCAGTTTTTTAAAAGCCTGAAAAACATTTATTTTACTGCTCTAAAGATGGGCTAGTTACTGACAATGTTTCCAGTTTGATTAATGACTGTGCTGTGTGTTAAACCATATTTTTATTAGACTTTAGGTATATCTCAAGGATGTTTGGCCATGGTGTCTACTTGTCTACTTGTCAACTATTCTCTCAGGGCTAACTAAATGTAAAATACACATAGGTTGTTGCAATAAACTGACTTTTTATTTCCAACAGTGGATGTTTGCTGGTGGTAGAGCTGTATCATATTTCAACCATTTCATTCTCACTATGTAATAAATGCTTCTGAAAAAAAAAGAGTTATAAAAGTATTTACAGAAAGTGTGGTAATGTTAGATTTGAAACGGTTAATTAGGTTTCCATTCACATTGCCGGTAAGGCGGCTCCAGATGGCTCTTGCGTTTTATCACTTGAAACACTGGCAGGGGGTAAAACTGTGGCAAACACAACATGAGGAGGCTGCTAAAAATAGCAGTAACAAGCCTCCAGTTCACCTTGGTTTTTAGACACCTCTTTTCAAAAACACTTTCTTCAAGCTGTGTAAATATATGATGCCTTTTACTTTGAACTTAAAAGGGATTAACCTAAAACTGTTGCAAATTGGCATAAATAAAATGGAATAAAATGTTTTAACATCTCAACTGCTTAGTATTATTTATAAAATGACACAACAGCTGCAAAAGTAAAGCTAAATGCAATCATTCAGGAAGGCCTGTGTAAGATAAGCCCTGACGTAGCCACAGATCCACTATCACATGCTTTTTATTTGCCTACTTCAGTTTTTCACAGAGCTCTCCAGCTTTAGGTTTTACCCACATGAACCATATTGTCTGATTTTTACCCTTAATGGACCTCTAATGCACTGGCCACTGAATCAAGGAGCTGTTGTTTCTAAAGCTGTTAAGCTACATGTTTACAAGGTGGTCACAGGTCATACTGGGCGTTCTCTTTTCAGGTTGTTAGTATTAAAGCCCATACTGAAAGCTATTTTCAAAGGATGATGGCAGAAACATGGTCTGAAAAATATGATCTGAGTTTATCCCTTTGAATTTTAGGCTTTTTATTCTGTTATTACCATTAAGACTTACTATTCAGTGACTACCATAGATTTTCATTACATACTATGGATCTAATGTAAGTTATGCAGATGGAAAAACACATAAAGTGTATCTCAACACAACACAAGTATCTTATAAACACATACAGTATCATATATCTATATATATCTATCTATATATATATATATATATATATAATATATATATATATAACCTACTGTCTTAAAATAATGAGATACTATCTCATAATAATCATAATATCTCATAATAATGAGATACTGTCTGATAATGGCTTACAATGTCAGAATGAGGAACATGTGAAATGTTTCTCAACACAACAAAGTATCTCATAATTGCATAGAGTGTCTTAAAGATAATGATATCTCCTAATAATAATAATAATAATGATATTTCATAATACTATCTCATAATATTGAGATACACACTCATGACTAATAATAATGAGATACTATCTGATAATTATGTCTTACAATGTTAGCGTGAGGAACATGTGTATCTTAACACAACATATCATCTCATAATCACATGAAGTCTCATAAAGATAGTTTTATCTTATAATTATAACTTACTATCTCATAATAATGAGATACTAACCCAACTCATAATGATGACATACTGTCTGGTAATTATGTCTAATAATGATAGAGTAAGAACCATGTGAAGTTTATCTCAACTCAACATAGTATCTCATAGTTGCATACAGTATCTTAAAGATGATCATGTCTCATAATAATGATACTAACTTATAATAATCATAATAATGATAACTCATAATGCTATCCCATAATAATGAGATACTAACCCATAGCTCATAATCATGAAAATCTATCTGATAATTATGCTTTATAATATCAGTTAACACTTTATTTGGATAGTCCACTTCAGATGCTTTGTAGATACTTAATTTACTTTCAAGTTACATTAAACTAAATATCTACTAAAATAACCATCATTTTCTTTAACTCTAAACCTAACCCGAACCTTAACCTCAACCCAAAACCTAAAGCTAACCCTCACCCTGGTCCACCACTGTTTAGAATCCCCTAGTTTCAACAGATAGTTTGTTAACAATTTGAACATCTGTAGATAATCTATAGGGGACTATAGTGGACTATCCAAATAAAGTGAGACCCAATATCACTATTATGACTTACTATCTCATACTTTTAGTATTTTCATAGCTGTGAAGTACTATCTCATAATAAAGAGCTAGCATCTCAGAACTATGAGTAAGTAGTTCATAATAATGTCTGTTACAATAGTGTTATAATATTGTATGTTAGCTCACTTTGTGATTTGTTATCTCATAATTAGTATCTCATCATTATGGGAAGCTTTTTATTAGTATGACTTAGTAAATACTTTTATTTTTAAAGTCTCAGAAATTGGCTTCCAAAGTTCTGTTTTTATTACTCTCTCCCTCTCTCTGTATCTTTTTCCTTATCTCTCTCTGTCTTACTCACTCTTTCTCACTGTGACTGATCTCTGTTTATATATTGTGTAAGTCAACAGAGCAGCTAATCGACCCCCATTCCTTTCACAGCCTTGCAGAATACACCCTGTGTGTCTGCCTGTCTGCCTGCCTGGCCACTGTCACCTCTTAATAGCCTGCAGCTGGAGAGGGGTAGGAGGGCGAGAGAGCATGAGCCAGGGTGGGAGAGAGTGTGTGTGAGAGAGAGAGAGAGAGAGAGAGAGAGAGAGAGAGAATGCGCGACGGGGGGGAGAGAAAGAAGGGAGGGGGTGGGTGAAAGGAGAGCTGTGATGCAGGCAGCAAATCACATGAGCAGAGATATGTTTACAAACTGAGAAGGAGAGGAGTGCTCGGCACCATTATGAGCAGCCAGGGGCTGGAGCAGAAGACTGGTAAAGCATTAGAGCTGAACAAAACACACAGAGGGTGGACCCTTTCTTCTCAAGGCAATCTTTTTTTCCAGTTCCTCCTCTCCTGTGTGCTTTTTGGAGGACAGAGAAAGAGAGAGAGAGAGAGAGAGAGAGAGAGAGAGAGAGCAGGGCAGATGGTGAAGAGGAGACAGAGCCGTCACCAGCACAATGCCACTCACAGCTTGAAGGAGCTACATTCACAGCTCCATTCACACTGAGACTGCACTGAGCCTCAGCTCCTCTCTTGCTTTGGAAAAAAGGGGGTGATAAGAATGAGAAGACTGTTCTGAAGGACAAGAAAAGCAGGTGGGCTTCAGAAAGGTGGGACAAGGTGTCACAGGGACAGGAAGAACCTCGTGACAATGTTTTGGAGGTAGACAAAGCAAAGCAAGTGAGTGCACTTCCATGATCTATATATATGCTCAGACTGAAAAGCATTAGACTGCTGGTGTTATTGTAACTGTGATTCCAATGAAAAGAACTATTTTAAACTGCCAATAATAATAAGCTCTTAATGCAATCTGACCTGTGTGAAAGGCACCCTACAAAGCAGCCTTCTTGAAGTACCAAAATCTGGACTTTGGTTTTTGGACAATGACTCTGGACAAAAGAAAAAGTCAAAGCAACACTATTTGTTAGGTGTCGTTCTGCCTGTATTTCGTGGAACGTTTGAGATCACAGAAGGAGGGCAAAACATTTTGATATCTACGCCAACCCTGAAGTGGACATTGACCGACTTGTCTTTTTAAGTGTTTTAACCAAGTCGTCCTGCTTTTACACAAACACTGAAGGGAATGTGGTGGGTGCTTGCAAGGCTGTGAAGACTTCTTCAGCTGTGGTATTGTTGTAGGAGTTTTTCCAGCGAGGACAAAGCCCAGATTATTTATCTGACATTGTTTGGGGGGGATCAACCTAGCTTGCTGACCCATTTTAACACAGCCTTGTGGAACAGATCACTGATTGACTGGTTCTATTGGAGCAGCCTGACACCTAGTTTCATGAACCCTCTCCAGTGGTGTAACGGTGAGTATGAATCATAACACCCTCCCCACATCCATGCATCTGAATCCCCGTGACCTGTTCTACGTGTTATGCTAGCCGCGAGGCACCCTTCCCTAAAACATGTGTTATTCACAGCGTCTCCAGCCTTCTCCATGGCTTTCTATCAATGATTCACTAACATCCTCCTAAGATTACAAGTGCCCCTGCTTTAACCCAAACAAGTGAAAGCCCTTTACCTTTCTCCTTGCAGAGACAATCTCCTGCATGGCCTGAACTTGTGCACAGACTGGAGAGAGACTTATTGTCTGTGTGTCACTCTGTGTTCTATTGTTTGAAGCGAATGTATGCTGTTTGGCAGAGTATGACCCCTGATGTCAGCCGCCATTGTTTTCCATGGTGCTTCCTTCCCAGGTTGGTGAGGCCCACAAATGAACAGCATGGATTGGATGTGCCCCATGCCCTTGCCTCCCCCTCTACCCCCCATTAGACTGAGCAGATGGTGGCTTCATGGCAGAAGGGGCTGCGGCTGCAGCCACTTGTGTTTGCCTTTGTGCACGGACAATTGCCCAGGCTTCACCCAGGCTCTGCCAACTGCTCTACCTTTCTCTCCATCACTCTCTCCTTGTTTGTCTCCTCCCCTGCACCCTTTTGCCTCACTCCTTTGTTTCATGCCCTTCCCATTAAGGCAAAGCCACTCTTATTTTGCTCTATTTCTCTCTCCTTTCATATTGTTGCTGTGGTAACAAAACCTTGTATCTCCAAAATATTCAGCTTTACAGGAAAGGAAAAAAGCATTCTGGACTAATGATTATTGATGCAGCAGTATTTTATTCTAAGCAATTGTTAACCATTTTTATCATACTTGTAACATAATGTAAAGAACAGCTGGCTATTTCAAATGAAAAATGGCAGTGTATCCCAGGTTTTTTGTCTTTGGTAAGTCAGCAACACAAAATGTATACAGAATATTTGACAACTGCCTATGTATTTGATTGACCTGACAGAAATACACACATCAATTCTGTCAGCTCACAGCCAATACATATGGAATATTTATTGCATAGCGCTGTTGTACATGGGAAATGCTGTCTGTGTGTTAGAGGAATTCACAAATACACTTGTCATAAACACAATACATTCAAAGATAATAAGGTAATCCGTCTTAAAAAGATTGGAGCAGATATTTAGCAGCATGTGTAACCAGTACTTACAGAATGTGGAACTGGGGAAAGCTAAAACTTGTTGAGTTCATTTTTGGCATACTGCTCAACCTGCCAAGAGTGCTCCAATGCAGTTTAGTAGAGAACATGTATCTCTTCTAGGAGTAAATAACAGAAAGTCTTTCCAAAGAATTTGCTCTCTGTCTTGACTCACAAATGCATCAATAGAGGGGAGTGAGGATGAATACACAATAAACAGTGTAGAATGGTAGAGGTCATTGTTTTGGGGACAAAGAGAGGGACACAACTTTGCCTTATACAGTGTTTTCCTTCTCATTTAGTAGTTAATGTGAGTAGTTTATTGTACAGTAGGAATCAGACAGCACTGCAGAGATTTCACTCAGTCTGCCTTCTTTATGGCTTCCCATAGTGGAGGGTTTCTGTTCAGCCTTTTGTTTCACCCACATGCAGAATGCTCGAGAGATGTCCACGGCAGTGCTGGGCCAGGCAGTATGCTCAGCACGTTGCAGTCAAACATAATAGGAATACATTCACTGTTTTCTCTATTGATAATGCTTTCTGTTTAATAGATTATTTCAGTATTGATTGCAGTAAAGATGCATTACAAAATTCTTCATTGGATATTGCCAGCTGCCTCTGATGATATACTGAGTGTAGACGACCATAGGCTCATATCTCATTACACCAAGAAGGACAGCTAAGCAGTGAAATTATGCAATAATTGTAATTGTGTTCTCATTGGCCAAGTAAAATCAGCGAGAGATCTACTTGTTGCTGAAGGATTTTTTTTTTTACTTTTTTAATGTTAAAATTTTGTTAATGACTGTTAAGGTTGCACAGTAGTTTCCAAATAAATATAAATAAGGTAAAAAATAACAAGAAATTCTTACTATGAAAAAAAAAAAGTTGACATCAAACTTTTCATCCAGATTCCTCCTTGACACTCTGAACTAGCATATGTTTACGTGTGTATATGTGTACATTACAGATAAAACTGTTTTTATCCCTCTCTTACACCCTTACCATTTGGAGATACAATGTTTTGATGTGTCAGCAACTACATAAATATTATAGGTTGTCTTTCATTTATTAATTAAGCATCATAAGCAAGTAGTTTTCAAAACAAGTTATCAGATTCATCAAAATGTGATGAATGTGCTATGTGCATATTTTTAATGCTGCAAGCTAACAGTCGAAACAAGAAAGGCTGATCATACAGTCTCAACTGTTAGCTCTCCAGAAGTTCAGCCTACTGACAACAATGTCAGAGTCTGAAAGGAAAGTGCCCATCACTTCTGCTGTTTCTCAATAGTGCTTTGCAGAGCTGTTGAAGTCGATTAATAAGATACCACAGTGACATACTTCTCTTGTTTTCAGTTTGAGTAGATGTATTACAGTGAAAAGTTCATGCAGCTCAGTGAAGTCCAACAGTGAGTGCACTGTTACGGCAATATGAGAAACATGCAGACGCTCCACAGGAGTGTATGCAATATGCATGCTGGGGCCACAGCGAACTGTACACATGAGAGTCATAGTGGAGTGTGTGGGCTGCCAAGGGCCTCGTAAAGACGAATATGTGATCCACTCACTCATCAGCTGAGAAATGCTAATTTGTGATTTATGCTGAGGCTGAAACTATTTGGAAAACAATACGAATGTTACTTGCCAGAGACCTTGAACTTCACCTACTTCGGTCATTTCATTTCAGTCAAGCTCCAATCAGGAAGTGCCAGAACAGTGAAACAGCCACGAAAATGTTAGCTCTAAGCATGACAAGCAGAGCACGACAAACATATTGTGTCTTAGTATGGGCACTGTTATTACTTGAATTCCTTTGTTGCATGAAAAACAGATTGTGGCTTTGAATCTGTCAGACTTTAAATGAGTCTTGTGTTTGTGGTCATGCAGGATGTCTGTGTGACTTGGGATTGCAGATTTCAGACTGCAAAATGAGCACCGACACCACATACCGCCTTCCATTGAATGTCTACGTCATCATCCTTGGGATTGGCCTCTTCATCTTCATGTTGAGCATGATCTTCTGTTGTTACCTGTTCAGGTAATCTTGTAGTGTTGAACCAGGTTCAAAATCAGAATTTACACTTAGAAAATAGTAAAAGTTTTGAGTGAAGCATGGAGACTAGTAGGTCAATGGGATGCTTGGATAATTAATTTATAGAACTTATGGAATTTATGCAGACATACATTTGTTCTTTTCTGGATGTAATCATGTAAAGTTAAACATACTGTATTCGTTCACAGCCTGAGACGACAGGGCACACGGGAGCAGTATGGATACAATGAGGTATATTTCATTTTAGTTTTATGCTTTTGAAAAATAAGTTCCTTCAGTGTCAGTTAACTTGTCTCTTTGCAGGTGGTTCTAAAAGGAGCAGGAAAGAAGCTCAGCCTGCTTGGAGTAAGTCATCTTAACACAAGCATTACTCTTAACAAAAATCTTTATGCTCAAAGAGAAACTGCATCTAAGCTTTGCTGTTATGAAACACTGAAATGAACTGGAATGAACTGTAAGAACCTGTTCGCCTCAAATACTGTTCAAATTGTAGCAAAACCAGGAGATACAAGCTCTCTCTTTATGTCTCTTGCCCTGTAGCAGACCTGTGCAGTTTGCCTAGAAGAGTTCAGGAGTAGGGATGAGCTCGGAGTGTGTCCTTGCTCTCATGCATTCCACAAGAAGTAAGACTAATTCCCATGCTGCCCACCATAAACACCCAGACATACATACATCTCTCGGCAGACATTCGGCAGGCTCCATTATACAATGTACTGTCCAGTATATACAATGTACTTTCATAATACTTTAATTCCTGAAACCACATACTTTTAAAAATAATAGTGCCAGAAAGCGTTCTTTGAAGAACTACTTTTGGTTCTCACAAGAACTGCATGGTTCTTTAGGGAACCAAAAGTAGTTCTTCAAAGAACTACACCATTTTTGTAAAAGAGATGTGTGAGTGTGAAAAAACTTTTTAAAGTTTAAAGAAACTTCACATAATGTAAACCTTCTAGGAAGAACCCTTAAATTGGTATAGGGCTTTTACATTACCTGCAGCACTACCAAATCTCTTTTTTAAACATGGCTGTTGAGGGAACCAAAAGTTTGTCTTCTATGGGATTGCTCAAAGAACGTTTTGTGGCGCCTTGTTTTAGGAGTGTAGAGGAAAAAAATATTTCGATAGTAGAAAAAAATCAACCTGTCTACCTATGATACATCACAAGGGAACTTCACGAGAACACTGAAGGAGGTGCAAAATGTAGATAACAAGCTTTCGAAATGTAAAACAACTACAAAAACATGCGTGCCATTCCTGACTGTATTTAAATGAGGGAGCTGGTTTTAAGCACTAGAACATTTCATGGTTCAAAGTAACCTCAGCCTGCAAGCCATGTTCTGTTTTGTGAGTGCAAAACATTATATACAGAGAACATTTGGTTTTGCTCTTATTTTGCAGAAGTTTGATATTGTGTTGTGCTGCTACATATGGTCACAATTCTGTTTAACAACCAACCCTGTTTCTGTGGAGTTTAAGTAAAAAAATTTTATTTTTCTTCAGTATAGCTTATAGATTATAGCTTATAGATTTTAGCTTATAGAACTACATATCATCATTGCAGGAACAAACCCTTCAGTGTCCAAAATGGACAAGGAAAAAATGTTCTTAACTATTCTGAATTAGATTTTAATCAAAGTTATTTTGGACTATTTCCAAAAAAATTGTGTTTCTACAACAGTGACTAATATATTCTCTCTCTCTCTCTCTCTCTCTCTCTCTGTCTCTCTCTACGTGCATGTGCAGGTGTTTGGTGAAATGGCTGGAAATCCGAAGTGTTTGCCCCATGTGTAACAAACCCATCTGTAGGCTCCAGCCTGACCCTCCACAGGGGGCCGAGGGGCTGCAGAACCCCCTAGAGGTGTGAGCGAGAGGGCTGGTGTCAGTAAGAGAAACAGGAGACTCTCGCTGTGTGGAGCTCGCTCAGCTTCACTCGAGAACAATACAAAAAACACACAGTGTCACATGTAGCCCACTCCCATATCCAGCTGACCCTCATTCTACCACTAAAACAGTCCTCTAATGCAGCAGCGAGGAGCTTTCACATTGACACGATAATGTTTTGAAGTTCTGACTTAATGCACTATGCATTCAGCCTTAATAAAAAGCATCATATAGATGCCCTGGGCTGAGAAAGAGAGATTTTGGCTATTGAGACTTGCACAGAACCTGAATACTTTGTGTAGGCACTGCGCAATATATATGCACACAAATGCCATCGGAATGGCAGAGGACATTATAGTACCACAGACCAGTAAAGGATGATTATATGACGGAAGCGTCAGAATGGAGCATTCTGTGTCCTATGAAGGCCTATGATCTTGGGATCTCGCCAAAATGTTTTCAGATTTGTCAAGTAAATCAAATGTATCAGTGGATCACAGAGACGTTCCTGGATTTGAAGAACCTAAACGATTGTTTAATGCCTGCCCTCCCAGCACTCCCAGGCCAGGTTTGGGTGAACTGGAGTTTTAGGTAATCTTTAAGTTATTTTGAAGTTGTTATTTTATATTGTAAAGACCTCTCAATAAAGTGTAACATTTCCTTGATGGCTTAACATCTGTATTTATGGTTTGTTTACTGGACCACAGAATTTCTTCCTATTTAGGACCATAAGTTAGACTTGCAAATAAGACATGCTTGTCTGTGTAATGCAATGATGTCATGTACGATTTGAATTACATTCATTTTTGTCAGAGCAAACACCAGACCCATTCCTAGTGAATCTCCACTTATGTGAGGCTGAATTACAATTCCAACAAAAGCTCTTTTCATGGCTAAACTCAACAAATTCCTGTGGCAATGCTTGCTATTTTACATGGCAGTGCTTGCTATCTGTGTTAATGGGCCAGCCTTGTGACTGTCGTCAACAGTGCATTCCACTAAGTTTATGTCAGTGTGGGCTCTGTACGGCTGCCTGAGAGATGTTTTTGTTAGCAAAGCATTGATATCTGTGCTTTACATTTGTTAGAGGATCTCAGTATAAATTGACCCCCACAGACAGAAAAGAATGTTTTGTGTAGAACACTGTATAGGCACGCGTTAATAACACTGTGACCCCCACAGGCATGCTACTATCAAAACACACAATGAAAAGTGAACACTTGTCTTAGGAACAACAAAAACTTATAATGGGTCACACAAGGCGTTTAGAGTTATAGACAATAATAAAATATGGTGACATAGTAAAATAACAAAGTGCATGATACACTTCAGGTCGTTTCCATTTTCCATTTATCCACTTGTGTGCTTATGCCATTCATGGTGCTTCACCATGCAAGGAGGAGAATGTGAACTGTTCCCTGGTCTACATATCCAGAATTAGACCGGACTGGCCTGTACACAGAAAGTGAGGCTTACGCCAGCTTGCAGATCCCATATCATTTTGAATTGGAGGGCACTACAGTGACTTACAAGCAGGTCTCAGAGTTTTGGTGGGAGGGCCTAAAGGGTTCCAAATCTCACCTTTCACCCACTTATTCTAACATTAAACTGATGCAATAGTTCATTATCTTGGCCCTTATCTTGGAAATCCAAATTTTCCTCAGGTTTTGAAATAAAAGAGTTTGATGTGGTTTGTAAACATTGTTTAAGTTTCAACTCATTTCAAACTTCACTCTGTCGTCTATACAGTCCATTTATGACTGTATATTAAGACTAACCTGCAAAACCAGCTGGTTTTCAATTCATTGTTTTTGTTGTGTCACCAAAACCAACACATATCTGTATAACGTAGCCTATTCAGCCAACACCACTTTAGCACCACCCAATCACGTTGAAGTTAGAAAGTGTCCTGACTGCTTTTTGAACGAGGCACAGTGCACAATCAGAACATAGCTCATTTACATACATCAGTCTTAAAGCCTGTTTAATTTTTAAGGGATAAAGAGCAGTTAGAAAATGGTCATGTAAAAATGAATTATGACTGCTTTTAGTACATAAACCCACACAAACATCATAAATCAAAAACCTTTTTGGTATATGGGCCCTTTCAGTACACATTGGTTTGGTTATGTGTAGTCAAATTAGCACATTGCCGCTGTCAGAATAAACCTTGTCTCTCCAAAATGGTAACTTTACAGAAGAATGACAAAACACCATTAACTTGCAATGGAACTTAATGTAATGTGATTTTTAAAAATATTCATCATGAAATAAGAGGCTGTTCATCTTGAAATGTGAACACAATGTAAAAGTAATGTGGAATTTTCAAATTGTGCAAAAATGACAAATAACACAAATTGACACACAAGTCAGCAACAGCAACAATATGCTGCTAAATCTGTTTTGTTGAAGTATATTTTGGGACAAAGTTAATGTAGATTATGTTTCAGTGTGATTGTAGAAACGTAAACTGCATAAGCAGTTAAGCATTAAGGAGAAGAAAGAGAAGAAAAGTAGCCGCCCTCTTAATTATACTAGTCACTCAGAATGATAGCTGAGTAGAAACAGTATGGCACACATTTCATTTCAACCTCAGGCTGATTTTCAGTAGTTATGAAGTCATGACCTGAAGGCTAACCGACCAAAACATGCATTAGAATTTCAGAGGGCATTCTTAAATGCTTAACAACAGTTTAAAACAGATAAGAGCTTGACATTTAAACATGATACATAACGATTTGGCTCTTTCAGCTTTGAGACAAAAATAGAAATGTTTCTCTGGAGAGCGGACTTACATGAGGCAGTGGCAGAGGCCTCAGACGAGCTGTGTTCTACATTAGCGTACTGAACCCCTTAAACTCTAGGGGCTGTATGTGGGTCCCACACTTCAGTTCTTCATTCTTATGCTTACATAATGTACAAATTACTTTCACAGTAGCTACAGGATTGTTCATATTAGTCATTGTATTAAGCCAAGGGTGTAAAAGTTTAACTGATATTTTCCTTGTTGGCATCTGTGTGAGCTGCATGTTGAGATACGATGTGTGGTCAGAAATTAGATGGTGCGATTTGCACGTTGCAACTCATCCCAGCTTATCTAACAAGTTGCTGAACAGAAACTAGAGAGAGGCAGAGTGGAGAGATGATTACAGCACTGCACACATCAAGAGGCTAATAAACTACACAGTATAAATCTACAAAGCATTTCTGCTTCAACCAACACTGAAGCATTAAAGCTTCTTAAAATGTTTTCTATTATTAAGGTTTTTACTTGATTGTGAATTATTTCACCCCCTTAGTGCATTCTAGGTTTTCTGTTTAGAGTTTTTTTTCATTGTACTTTGTTATTTGTATCACATTGTATACCTGTGCAATTATATATATATACAGGACAAAGAAGACTTCCTTGTCCAAGATATTGTGGGTAAGCATGAAGCAGTGTGTTCAAGTCCATAAAATTTTATGAGGAGCATGAACAATATCTGCACAATGGAAATGACTTTTTTTTGGACAAAAATAGCACAAACCAACATGAAGTGGAAGAATGACCAGACAACTACTTGAGATGTGTAAAACCTTGGAAATCACAAACATCTAATTCAAGGAGTTTTCTTTCTGTGTGAAATTGTGTTCACACACAGTAAGCAAAACGCTCTCTGCTGACCAAAAGCGTTCAGTACAACTTCACCATCATCCCAAACAGGCTAAATGAGCACCATCTAGGGAAGAGGAGAGGAACTAGCACTGTCTGAATTGTATTAAAAGGAGGGGACTGAGTAGGCCTATTTCCAGTAAACAAATTTGGGTAGTAACGAATGGATTTGTAGTAATGGATTTGTACTTCTGAGTGTTTTCAAAACAATGCTACTTTTACTTCTATTATGCAAGTGACCAAATCTGTCCTGCGATGTGACTGGTTACCACCGTCACTCTGGAGGTTTATTTTAGTTCAAAAGTGCACCAAAAACGAACATACTTTCTATGCTAAAACATTTCTATGCTGAATGCTTTATAACATTCCATTGTGGTTCTGTAAGTTACATATTTTTGAGCTGTTTCTTTTGTACTCCTACTCAAATTGTTTTGGGAAACATATTTTCACTCGACTCATAAAAAGTATGGCTTAGGTAGCACAGAAGAAAAGTACAAATCAATATTATAATTATAAGAAGTACTATAATGGAACAACTATCTGCTTAGTAATGGAATGAATAAATAAAATCAATTAAACACTTTAAAAATCATTTCATGTTATTGCTGCATATAATTAATAGATTATACAGAAGGTGTTTTTAAACTTTGTTATTGTACCTTATGTCAATTTTATCACATGAGGAAATACATAAAGCATTTGAGATAAGACAGTGAGATGAATATGGAGAAAAAAATATTATTTTGGTTCAGTTACTGTGGATCAACAGAGTAATGTAAATACTACTGAATGCAGAGGCTAATGATTCCCCTCATGAAATTTTTCACCTCCCAGAAAATGCTGCTATGTGTCATCGCCTGTATGGAAATCTGATATATGGCAATATATGGATTTTAAATATATGACATATAGTAGCATATAACATAATTTCCATTTATCCAACTCCAATATGTCACATGTAGACCTGTATGCCAACTTATTTGAAAATATGGGGAATATATTTCAGCCGTATCACCATAAATAAACATATATGTGTAACAAATATCAATTAACATTTAACAATATATGCCAGAAAACACTCATATATGGATGCCATATGTTACTCATATATGCCAGTATGATGTTATAGAATATAAGTTTTTATGCATCTTCTTTGTTTCTTTCACAAACGTTGGAATGAAGTGAAAATTAGTATAATAGCTACATAATTACACTCTAAAACATGCACATTGTAAGCCATGGATGTATGTATCAGACATATGTGTAATATATCGTCACTGTCCAATGAAAAACAAGTATCTCCAAAACAGTAACTTTACAGGAGAGGGCAAAAACGTTCTTTACTTGCAATTTAAGTTAACAGAAAAAGTTTTTATTCTAAGCAATTTTGGAGCATTTCTGTTGGTCCAATCATCATGAAATTTTCACACAATGTAAAGGATGGCTGCTGAGCTTAAATGACGCAGAAAAGCAAAAATCGCAAAAAATGGAGATACGTTTTTCATTGGACAGCGACGATATATATATATATATATATATATATATATATATATATATATATATATATATATAATATATATATATATATATAAATTATGAATATATTTATATTATATTTAATAATAAATAAACATTAAACATTACACATGAACACACTTACCTCTCGTTTTCTATCTTTAAGAAAAGGTAAGTATTTACAGTGCATTAGTTTGAATCCACAGCAACTTCCGTCCTTCTCCGGCAGGTGGCGATATTTACCACATGGAGAACAGTTTACGTCAAGTCGAGGACAGCAAAGGAAAGCTGACATCCTTCCACTCACCCACTGTATCCAAGTAAGATGATTCACTCTGCTATGTATTTTTATTTGTGTTATTTCTGTTGCCTCATATTTATTAGTAGGGTATAAATCCACACATATGCGCTCGATCAGCTCCAACATCCTAAGACTGGAAGCTTTTTCAACCGTCATGTTAACCGAGCTGATTTAGCCTATGACAGAAAATTATAAATGAACACGCTTAAGTTAAAGTCTGTGCTGGCAGGCGAGCGATACCAGATTCATTATACGGTGATACAAAAATATGGCCAGGATTTCTCCATCACACTCATCACTGAGGGGACTGAGTGACCCACACTGACTGACTGAGAGGTGCTGTTTTCCAGCAGGGCCAGCCATGGCAGGGCATGACGCAGGAAGTCAGCACCAGTTCACAGGGGTTGCCAAATATTTCAATTCATACACCATCACAGGGAGGAGGAACGTGAGTAGAACATACTGATCTATTCTTGTTCAGGTTTCTAAAAGCTGTTACCCTTATGCTATAGTGACCAAGGGCTTCTAGCGCCCCCCCCCCCGGCATTGGGCTGTGAGAACTCTGTTCTCTGGAGGGATGGAGTTCAGTCGAATAGCTTTGGGATGAGGTGGAGTGGCAGCTGTGATCCAGAATGAATCAACCAACATCAGTATCTGACCTCACCATTGCTCTTTTGGCTGAATGTAATCAAATGCTTACAACAATGTTCCAACATCTAGTGTAAAGCCTTCCCAAAAGAGAAGAGGCTGTTACTGCAGCAAATGGGGACGATCTCCCAATTAATACCCTTGATTTTGGAATAAATGGTGGATAAGCAGGTATCTGCAAACTTATAGTCTATGTATTGTCGCTGTCCTAACAAAAGCATCTCCAAAATGGTACTTTTATAAGAGAAGGCAAAAACTTTCATAACTTTTAGTGTAAGTTTTTATTCCTATTTTATTGGAATAGGATATATAGAGTATAGGATATTTTATTAGAATACTTTATTTCTGGTCATTTTTACTGGTCCATGAATTTCTACTTTGAACATTCATCATGAAATGTCCCCACACTGTAACCTTCTGATCAAATGTTGTAGAAAAATAAAAATAAACAAAATAGACATACATGGTTTTGATATGACAGTGATGATATGTGATATGTTAAATGTTTTTCTAGTGTGTGCTGGCCACCTACGCAGGCATTGCTATAATCTTCCTGTATTTCAAATTGAAACCCAAGAAGAAGCCTGTTACAGCAAAGTGATGACAACTGTAAGTAACTTTGTGCTTTGTAAGTAACTCTGAAGTCTCAGTGCCACTGCCAAGATTACACATCTTCAGAATAATTAGCTTAAATGTCCTTTATATTTTCATTGTGTGACATTTTCAGTTGCATTGTACAGACAGTAATTTCTATGGCACTGTACTATTCTGATACTGGATTTTAAATGACTTCTGATTTGAGTTGCTTGTAGATTTGCATTTTATAAGTGTAGATAAACAGCACAATCTCTTGGTAAACCACATACGCATTTTTTTTTCATTTATTTAACTCATTAATGCACACCAGAATTGCTTGTGAGTTAATTGTGTTTTGTGTCTATCTGTTTATAGGCTCTCTGTGGCCAGCTCCAGTGCAGTGCATACTGGCTGCATTTCAAGTTCCATATGCTTCATCTGCTTTTGCCAGTGCTGTGTCCAGTTCATTATCATGATAGCCACAGCAGTGAACACATGTAGAGCATGAAACAAAAGTGACTCATTTCAACTGATTAAATTCTATCAACAGCTGCAAATTTTAATAATAATGCCAAAATGTTTGTGAGGCATATAATACTTTGAAGGCAATGGCATAATTTGTAATTCTAAGGCAGTATAGAAATGATTCGCTGAAGTGTGTCTCTACAGGTCTGTCACACAAACAGTTAGAAATGTCCAGAGAAAGCCTGCGTTGAAACTCGCAGCAGTGGAGAAAAATCATTCAGGAAATTAATCATCTTTTAGGCTACTTTTTTAAGCTTTCTGTGCATATTGCTTGCTGCTCCCAAGTGCAGAGGAACACTTTCATTTTCAACAAGATGTGGTGTATATTGTGTAGCCCCAACAGCAATTCAAAAAGGACTGAAAGTAAGCAGTCCAAACCAGTTATGAATGTTGTAGCCCAAGAAAACGTTGCTTCCAATATTTTAGTCTATACTTTAATGAATACAGCATAAATATCACAATAGCTGATTTGTTTCTGATGATTAACATTGCTTTGTAACGTTGCATACTAGCTGATATAATACCACAATGTGGAATTTCATTTCACAAGACCAGATTCACTTCAAGTTCACAACAAATAATAAATAAACTAATGATGACCTTCATGCTTGTCGTTTTGATCTATGACATTTAATTTTGTTGCTGTTTTTGTTTGTCACATGTAAATATCTGTCTCAAAATATTCATTTGATTATGTTAAGCATTTTTTTAAAATAAATTTTACAAACATACATTTTACTTTTTGAGCACAATGGAAAACATGATTAGCTAATTAAGCATACTAATCATACCAGCCAGGAGAAAAAAATGTTCACACAGGCATGAAATTGCATTCACCTTGTGTGACCTAATTACAGTCACCAGCACCATCTCACCAGATGCCACTTTTTAGGCTGTTTTTATGTCAAGCATGGAGGGCAGTGTTTTCATTTAACGCTTCACGTCTCTTTTAGTGACCTCATTGGCCAGTGTGTATTTATCTATTAACCAAACCAGTCATTTGAGTAGACTTAGGTTATTCTTGATTGTCCTAGCAATTTATTGGCACAGTGTGATGAGCTTTTATAAGTTCAACCAGAAAATGAGATTTTCTGTTGACCCCATGCTGTGTATGTTGTGTTTTCTCTGCTCACATGTGCCTGAATCAGTTTATTAAGAGCTTAATAGTTAACTGATGAGGCATAGTGATACAGCCCAAAAAAAGTAGTCCTCAGGAGTGGTAGTGGGAACTGATGATTTCTATATTACAAATACAGTGTGTAAGACTGAATTTATGTTAAGTTTCAAAATGATTCTGTTTCATACAGACGATAAAAAAGCTCAGCTTATATCAAAGCTCCAGACTGACTATGTGTCATCTATAAAAACAGAAATCTGTCCGTATTTCAGAAGACCATGATTAGAACAGGAGGCGATCTGTAAAACCGTATTGCCTTGTATAGTGTAGTGAAAAGTGTATAGTGGTTCTTTAGGTGTAGTACTGTTGTGCCTGCTCTACAAAATAGACATTAAAGGGAAATTCTACCAATTTTAAAATTTCTGCATAATGCAATCATTGTGATGTAAACATAGTCATTCAGAGCAGTTTGATGTGAGATGGTTAATTGTAGAATTTTTTTTTATTTTTTTTTCAGTGGTGGTGATGGGAACCAGGGGTTGCAGTGTCTGTAAACACAAATATAGCCCTGGGAGAGTGAATGTAGTGTATCTTTAAAACTAATTTTAGAACACTAGGACATTAAGAACCATGTTGTACCTTTGACCTTACATTTACATCTTCTGGATCTTGGAAACTAAAATTTACCTGGACACTACGCTTTCCCTGAAAATGCATTAAAGTTTGATGCTTATCATTCCTCCATGACGTCTACTAGTGAAAATCAGATTTGCTAAATCCTGCCTAAGCACATTACACAGATAACAGACATTCTCACTTTCCTTTTTTAAAGGAATTAAATCCTTGTTCACACTAACACTAATCTGCACACACAGACCCTTCTCTGCTTATGACATATGGCTGGAGAGGGTAGCCTCTAGCTCCAGACAAGCCCATCATGTGACTGAGGTAAAAACAAGGCCGTTCAACATGTCTGGGCCAGGCTTTTTAGACAAGACATGGAGCAGCTGGCCAACCATGCCAACCTGCAATCAATGAATCAAACTGGTAGATGGACTTTATATGCCTAATTGAACAGCACAATTACTTGTTCGGTGCAAAACGACCAGACAGCATGAGCTCATGTGGCCTGACTTGTGAACAGTGGCTCATCTGGGACATACATTATTTAAAGAAGTGGGAGATATTTGATTTATATGTCTGCGTTTAGGCTACAGTAATGCCATTAAACATTAAAGAATCTATTTTTAATAGACCAGGTAAATTTAGATTTATAAAAAAATAAGCATCAACATGATCTTTTGAAATCTATTTAAAGTTTATTGGAATGTTATGCACATACATATAATCATATGCAAATGTTTAGATGCCCCAGTGAAATAAAAAATGTTTTCTTGATTTTCTTAGTGAAACTAAGTACACATCCTGTATGGAGAACAAACCTCTGAATATTGTGCAATTACTGTTATTTGCTGAATTTAACATATTGGTAAAAAAAACATAAAATGTGGCCTGTGCAAAAATCACAGCACATTTTTTATTTTTTTATATGTTGAACTGAGCAGATAAATCGAAATTGTGCAGTAAAACTTGCACAAAAATGTCATATTTAAGTTTGTTCCCTGTAGACGATGTGTTAACTTATTGTCACTTAGAAAATCAATAAAATGTCTTTTAACCAGAAGTGTGTAAAACTTTGTATATGACTGCACATTATTCCTATATGATGTACAATGCATAATGTACAATGAACTGATATTTAAAATGATGTATAATTGTGAACGTAGATAGACAGATAGATAGATGGATGGATAGATAGATAGAGAGAGCACTGCACCCTATGTGGGCTGGGGAGGGGTAAAACAATAAATTGGGGTTGATGACCTGGCCTGAATCAAATCCTTGCTGTCTGCATTTACTCTTAACAGATGGAAAGAGACATCTAGCCAAACACTCCTGTCTGCTTTAGTTCCTCCGAGGCACCCAGATCAATTATTTATTTCCCATGTAGTGTAGCTCCCTGTATGTGACAGCCACTAATGCAAGCCTCATACTGTGCCTCATTTAGATAGACAAACCAGAAAACAAAACATGCATTCATCTGTCACCTGACGTATGAGCACATGAGACAGTAAGACTGTTAAATGTATCTCAGTATAAAAAGAAAACCACTGGAAAAACTTAACATCAATAAGTCATAGATTAGATCACATTATCAACGCTGGGTCAACAGCATTGCTATTATTATTATTTTATTACTATTAAATCATTGCATCAGCAGTGTATTTACATGTCATGAGTAGGAACATCAAATTAATTATCGAGTCCTGCTTTTCATCAGTCCGGCATAATTTTGGTGTTCAATTACAAATGACATAATTATGAGGTACTGAGAGGCCTATTTGCTTTTTGAGTCTACTGAGACTGGCTGAATATGAACACGTTATCTTGGAAGAAAAGGAAATAATATTCCATAGATGTTCAAGATGCTCATGGATTTAATCAAGTAGTCTCCTCTGTCATTGACCCCCAGTGTGTTAAAGTGCCTAGGCCAGATGGTAAGTTTTGTGCATTTGTAACGCATGGCTTTCAGTGGATTCTAAGGCTGATAGCCCTGCCAAAGTTAATTGGAATGTCATTAAAGTTTGAGTGGGTGGAGTAGGAGGGGTAGGGTGAGGGTGGGCTGTGTGTTTTTTGCTGTCGATTAGGGCCGAGTCTGTATGTATGTGTGTGTGTGTGTGTTTCAGGGGTAATAATGTTCAGATGGGGCAATAGGATGGGGCTCCACCTGCTGCCACCTGTCAGTACACCAGTCCTATATAAGCATCCCCTTTACTCCTCATGGCCAAACAGATTTGAGCTTGCTGCTAATACATCAGTCTGGACTTGTGTAGTAGAACAGTCCATACCAGCCCCACTGGAAGGACACTGTTTGTTCATCCCTTAGGAAACCTCTCTTAACTAAACGCTTTACATCTCCATCCTTGAAGGACAGTGGCATCACTTGTGGAAGGATGAAGCCTCGCAGACCAAGCTGTGCAGATTCAGGCTCTGAGTCTGACTCCAGAGAGCTGGAGAAATTTGAAAGTGCGGCACGGAGGAGGATGGCAGCCAATGCTCGAGAGAGGAAGAGGATGCAGGGCTTGAACACGGCCTTCGACAGACTCCGCAAAGTGGTTCCTCAGTGGGGTCAGGACAAGAAATTGTCAAAGTACGAGACCCTACAGATGGCTCTGAGCTACATCATGGCCCTCAACCGGATCCTAACCGACTCCAGCACGCACAGCACCCCTCACAGGCAGTGGCTGGACCTGCAGTTTGACAGCATGCAGTCGGAGAGCTACCCTTGCATTGTGAGATACAGCTCACCCATTGAAACAGAAGACATTCACTCCTCCTTCTCCTATCATTATGAGGGCTTTCAAGTCCCTACTTAGACTGAGATACGATGGATTGTATCTTTTATTGTGAAGATACAGGAGTGAGTAAATACATTTGTATTAAAGTTCTGTATTATGTATTATCCTACATTTTACATTGGTCAGATGAACTTTGGATTACCTTGGAATATTTCTGACAATTTGGTTTCAAAAAAGTGCATTTATAGTGCCTATAGTATTTATAGTATTTATTTTTATAATTTATTTTTGTAATCAAAAGAAATTTTATTATGGTCAGTATTTTCATGAAGTAATGAGAATTGTTGGTGGATCTGGTTCTCTTAGCCATGTTCTCAAACCTTGTACTACTTTGTATCATATACATTTTTGAAGCCCTGAAGTGCAGAGTCTGTATAAAAGCTTAGTCAAAGCTAATGTACCATAAAAGCTGTTATCTGAAAATTGTTTTGGCATCTTAATTTTTTGTTTGTTTATATGTTGTTTTTTTTTTGTTATTATTGAATTGGTATTTAAATCTGACATATCCAGCACAAGATGGATCTTTAAAGAAATATTTGCAAACTATTTGCGCTCTGTCTCTGGACACATTTCTTGTGTATTATGTATAGTTTCTAGTCCTACTAGTGCTTGAGTACCATAATAAACTTGAAAGATTCACTTTCTTGTGTAATTTTTTGCTTTGGTTATATTAAACAACACCATCAAAAAGTAAGCAAATAAAAAAATACAAAGAAACCAAACCAAAAAAGACAACAACTAGATACCATAAATGCATGATTCTTATTTATTTGTTATCTAAAATTTACAGCAAATGCCAGATGTTATGTAGAAGCAAAAGAAAAGTTATTAATTACAAACAATCAATGTATTTAATGTCAATGTATATGTCTTCATAAACATTTTAGATATGATTAGAATAAAACAACAACAACAATAACAACAACAACATTGCAATGTCACTTTTCTACATTGTGGCAGTAAATCTAACTGTTGGCTGTGTGTGTCTGCTCTAATGCCCACACTGCCCAGATAAAAGCGTGGTCATTTCAGCAGAGCCCAGTGTGTCCTTAGATAAGACCGTTCTAAGCAAACATGTCTCTGCGGTTTCCTCAGGGAAATGCTAAATCATGTTTAAAGGACTGCAAGTGACGTCACATGTGAAGCGCCTGTTTACATGCTGAAATCTGTTTTGTAACTGGGTGCAAATGAGAGGCTTAAGTATTTAGGATGTTTTTTATACATATATAAAACTCTTGTTTTTATATATTAAAATTTTTATATATAAAAAACTACTCAATGTACTAAAATTATCCAATATTACATTTATTTGATGATCATTGACATTTTCCATTTACCCAGTAAAAGCTATGCTGTTCCCATTTACCAGGACTGGGTCTAGCAAGGTCTCAAAAAAAATAAAAAAACAATCAAGAAAACAAAACAAAACACAAACATGATAGTTGACTTTAATGAATTAAATGGATTGAACTGAAATGTGCCACAGCTTCTGATATGCCAGACTTTCCAACCGCTCTTGATCAGGAAAAGAAAATTAAACTCTTTGTTGTGCACTGACTGTGGGTAATGTGACTATTGTGCAGCAGCGAGGCGTGAGGAGCCTGCACTCAGGTCAAGGCGTGTACACAAAGCCACAGAAAGCAAATACACCCCTATTAATACATGTAGTTTCAACTGTCATAATCCCACTCATGCCATCTTTATAGCATTTAACATTGCAAAATAATAGTAATCACCATCAATAAGCTCTTTAATCTTTGAAAATGTTTCTAAACTATTATTGCAGGCTGACCCCATAATACTGTGGATCGTATTTCCCCCAAATTCATTAATTTCCATTAAAAATATTTGATGTGTGTTCCAAAAGGTTACAATTTTTAACAGTCCATAACTCAATTTTTTTCTTCAGCCTTTTTTTAATCAATATTTTGAATTTAGAGCTACATGAAAAGCATACATATGTATTACATCATTTGTTTCTTTTATGATCAAGAGGACTTTTATGATTCAACTGTGATATTGTATTGCTTTTTATACAGATGGTCTCAGTGAAGCTTGTGCTGTGTAGATTGTTTGCACACAGTGCTGTGCAGCTCTAATGTATTCTCAGTGCTTTCTAACAGGTGGCCGTCCATACATTAATGCGTGTCATATGAACATCTATATGTTCATTAGCATAGGCCATATAGTGAACACATAAATGTTTAGTAGATTACCATAAAGGCAGCCTTGCAGTTGTTAGTGAGGCACATGCACTCATAATCAGTTGCCAACTGACATATTGCTTGTATGTACTCTATTCATCCCCAATCTATTGTTTTGGCATTGTTAACAAATGAGTAATGAGTCCATGTTTAACTATGACAGTGCCATAAGTATGGCACTAATTAAGTAGTCAATTGATAATTGCTTGCAAAGATACATAAGGTGTTCTTACATCTGTAATTAATTTACTGTATTTCAGCATGTATGGTAAATACTGTATACTATAAATTTAAGATGTACTATTCTGTATGTTCTAAAAACATATTTGCCACATTTGTCGTCAGGTCTTTCTATTTGAATAGAATATTTGATTGTAATTTATGTAATCAAAGACATGAAGGTAGTTTTTTTATATTATTTATTTTTTCCTTAACAGATCAACTTAGTAATTAAGGTCAGTCAAGCCCTTTATTACTGAAGCAAGTAAAGTTCAGGACTGAAAAATCACTGATCAGTCAAATTACTTTATATGTTAGCACTTCCTTTGAAATAAATACAGTTAAATTTGAATGTGTCTGGTTTAATAAATACTAATTTAAACTATTTCATAAACCTCATTCTAGTTTATATACAGTACTGTGCAAAAGTCAGACACTGACTCAAAGAACCCTTTGCATCATTAAAGCGTTCTTTGCATCGTAAAATGGTTCTTCAGGTTTTATTCTGAAGAGAATGCAAAGGACCCTTTAATCATGCAAAAGAGTTCTTTGAGTGTTCACAATCCTATGTAGAACCATTTTCTTTACTAAAGAACCCTTGAATAACCATCATTTTTAAGAGTGTACAGTAGATAACACCAGTGCCCTACACACAGGAGTCCAGTGTTCAGTTCCTGACCCCAAACACCACCACCATACCAGTAAGAGCTCTTGGGTAAGAGTTCTACATATGGTCTAAATAGAACGATTGCCTTTACTAAAGAACTCTTGAAGGACCATCTTGTTCAAGTGTATAACACTACAGTCCACTGCTTCTGTATTACGATTAAACTGGATCAGAGCATCTACTGCATGCCATAATATAAATTTGTTAAATATATATCCCATTGTAACAATTTCAAATATAACACATTTTTGAAAAGAATAACAGTTGAGATATAATGCTAAACACATTTTTATTCCTCTAATATAATAAAAGTGACATTTTTAACAACATAACACTTTTGTTTCTTGTAGTAGTAAAGCTCTTTCCCAGCAATGTATACCTTGAAAGAAAATAACATTCTTGAAAGTGGTCTATGATGTATTTTGGAACAAAACGCTTCATGTGTAACATGTATGCTTTTCATGTATAGCTAAAATTCAATACATGCATTTTCTGTATTTACTAGTTTTCCTGCTTTTACAGCATCTCTGTCACAGTTTCTTCAATGGTAGGACAGGTTTTTATGGGCTGTGTGAACAAAAGAGTGCTCCCTCCCTCTTCAAAAACCAGTGCTATATTCTCTGTGACTGCTGTCTAAGAGGAAGGTATAAAAGCAGGTGGTACCAAACAGCAGTCAGAAGGCTTGTTTCAGTGTTCTATGAAAGCCACTGAGCTACACACAGGACCTCCGCGACCGACAGCATGCAAAAACTCAACAACCGGGCCGAGAGCCACCTGAGCAGTCAGGTGGAGTGTGAACTGGAGAACCTGGGGAAAAGAGCTTGGGTGAATCAGGCCTACTGTGGCACTCCTCCACCGGTGCAGCGCTCTATCAGCACTGTGTATAACCCGCAGCCCCTCTTCCACAGTCCCCTGGACAGCATGGATAAACTAAGTGCACCCAACCCGTACCCAGCCGAGGACAGCGTGATGAACCAGTACTCTGAGAAGAAAAGCTCTGGATGCTGCTCCTCTATCTTACGAGGTATCAAAGGTAACATTGTGCGTTCAATCTGCACAATTTTGCAAACCAGTTTATACAGTAGATCTCTCACAGTGTATATGCCATAAAACCCTCCCTATTCTTACAGTTTAATTATTTTTTATTTGTAAAATTAAAACAAGTGGAGAAATGATTATGGAAGTGTGATACAACATTTATGTTTACTAGGATTTGAATTTGAATTTATTGTTGTGTGTACAGTCTTGTTTATAGAAAGAAAAAATCTTTACATTTTTACCATATGTTTGTAATTTGACACTGGAAAAAGAAATGCAGTTTTAACCCTGTTGATGTATGTAACCTTAATGCAATAATAACTAATTACTAATAAAAACTAATTTAATGTGTAATTATGCAGCTACATTAAACAGTATAGTAAAAACAATAATACATATCTAAGGGTTAATCCACATTTTTGTTTTGCTTAAAAAAGTTGATTCTGATTCAATAGGACTGTGGGGAACTACACTGACGGAAGATACGACAGAGAATCGTGAACTCTTTGTAAGAACCACCCTCAGGGAGTTACTTGTCTACATTGTTTTTCTAGTGGACATATGTCTGTGTAAGTATGAAGGTTCCTAATGTACTATAATAATTTACTTGTATATGTTTCAGCACAGATGACTACAACGCTGGAAAAACACCAGTAGAAATTTAGAAATATACAGTACTGAAAAACTGTTTTAGAAGATTCATTAATTGGGTCAGGGATATATTTCAAAATATATGGTCATATCCATACATATATATATATATATATATATATATATATATATATATATATATATATATATAATATTGGACATATATGCATAAAATATCAATCGCATGTATGATATATTTCTCATACGAAGACAGAAAGATTTTAAAGCAAAAAATCAAA